CTGGTGGGTTAAGGACTGAGCCCAGGGCCTGGCGCTGTGGCGCAGCAGGTGAGGCCAGGTGACACTGGTGGCCCGTGTCAGAGCACTGGTTCCAGTCCTGGCTGCTCCACTTCCCATCCAGCTCCTTGCTAATGCACCCGGGAAGGCAGTGGAGGGTGGCCCAAGTGCCCGAGCACCCCTATGGGAGAACAAGATGGAGTTCCTGGCCCAGACCTGGCTGCTGTGGCCTTCTGGGGATGGATGCTCTCTCTCACTCGCTCACTCACTCGCTCTCTGTCTCTCCTCTCTCTGCCTTTCAGATAAATACATAAATCTAAAAAAAAAAAAAAAATGACAAGGAAAAAGACCCGTGCCCAGCGTCGTCCCTGGCAGCAAAGCCGGGTCCTGCCCACCTCTGTCCCCTTGAGTGGGGCAGGCAGGACTCTCCTGCGCCTTACGGGTGGGGAAGTAGAGGCTCCAGGAGGCGGAGCCGCACGGCGTCAGCTCCTGCGTGGCTGTGACCCGCAGCGATCCCACCGGAAGTGGAGCCCTGTTCTCACCTGCGTCTCCCTCCCGCACAGGAGCTGTGGGCTCCAGGACATCCCAGCCACGGCTGGCACCAGAAAACCACCTTCTGGGGACCCCTCCCTGCTCGTAACCTCCAAGTGTAAGTTTCGGGGGCCTGCACCCGGGGCGCCCGAGTCGGCATCACAGCCTCCTGCCTCCTGCTCCTGGGCGGGGCCTCTGGGCGTGGGGGGCCTGGACCGCATCCGTGCCCCAGCCCCCGCAGCGCTCACGGTGAGGTCTGGGCTCCGTTCAGAAGCGCCAGGCTCCATGGGACGGACCTCACTGCTCGTCCTGCACGGAACGTCGGGCGGTTCCTCCACCCAGGAACCCCTGGGAGCTGCTCGCTGGAAGCAGGTGGGCCTCTGCTCCCTGCCCCCACGCCCCCAGGGGGCAGCGGCTCGGAGGCCTGCTCTGGGAGAATTGTTCTCAGGGGATTCCAGGAATCTGGCGCTTCTATGACAGCGCGGCCTGGGTGGGACTCCGTCGGGCGGTCCCAAGTCCAGGGAAGGGCTGCAAGCAACCACAAACGGCCAGACCTGAGTAACACTTGCTGAGGGATGTGTGAGTGACTGAGCAAGTGAGTGAATGAATGAATGTGTGAGTGAGTGGGTGGGTGAATGGGTGAGGGAATGAGTGAGTGGGTGGGTAAGGGAATGGGTGGGTAAGTGAATGAGTGGGTGAGGGAATGAACGGGTGGGTGAGGGAATGAGTGGGTGAGGGAATGAGTGGGTGGGTGAGGGAATGAGTGGGTGGGTGAGTGAATGGGTTGGTGGGTGAGGGAATGAATGGGTGGGTGAGGGAATGAGTGAGTGAGTGAGGGCATGAGTGAGTGAATGAATGAATGGGTGGGTAGATGAATGGGTGGGTGGGTGGATGAATGGGTGGGTAAGGGAATGAATGGGTGGGTGAGGGAATGAATGGGTGGGTGAGGGAATGAATGAGTGGGTGAGGGAATGAATGAGTGGGTGAGTGGATAAATGGGTGAGTGAGGGAATGAGTGGGTGAGTGAGTGAATGAGTGGGTGAGTGAGTGAATGAGTGGGTGGGTGAGGGAATGAATGAGTGGGTGAGGGAATGAATGGGTGGGTGAGGGAATGAGTGGGTAGGTGAGGGAATGAGTGGGTGGGTGAGGGAATGAGTGGGTGGGTGAGTGGATGAGTGGGTGGGTGAGGGAATGAATGAGTGGGTGAGGGAATGAATGAGTGGGTGAGGGAATGAATGAGTGGGTGAGTGGATAAATGGGTGAGTGAGGGAATGTGTGGGTGAGTGAGGGAATGAGTGGGTGGGTGAGGGAATGAGTGGGTGGGTGAGTGGATGAATGGGTGGGTGAGGGGATGAGTAGATGGGTGAGTGGATGAATGGGTGGGTGAGGGAATGAATGAGTGGGTGAGGGAATGAATGGGTGGGTGAGGGAATGAGTAGATGGGTGAGTGGATGAATGGGTGGGTGAGGGAATGAGTGGGTGGGTGAGTGGATGAGTGGGTGAGTGGATAAATGGGTGAGTGAGGGAATGAGTGGGTGGGTGAGTGGATGAATGGGTGGGTGAGGGAATGAGTGGGTGGGTGAGGGAATGAGTGGGTGGGTGAGTGGATGAATGGGTGAGTGCTGCCCTCCCAAGAAGCCGCTTCACTGCTCCAGGCCCCCAGCCCCTGAAGCACCTCTACCCTGGCCGTGCCCTCCACGCTCTCCTGCCCGCTGCTGGCTGTTCCCGCCTCTGAGCACCTCTGTGCCGGGGGCCTTCCCCGGTGCTCGAGACACATCCATGAGCAAAGCAGACGCGACCCCTGCCTTCATGGCGCGCGGCCGACCGGGCAGATCAGCAAGACAAGGAGGTGGAAGGCATGGCGTGACGGACAGGGACGCGTGGGAAGAAGCCGGTGAGGCCGCAGCTGTGCCACCGTCTGGGGAAGAGATTTCCAGGAGAGAGACAGCCAGTGCCAAGGCCCTGGGGCAGAACGTGGCATGTGTGTGGAATCGCGAGGATGGCGAGCTGCAGAGCAGTGTGGGGGAAGAGGAGGCCAGGACAAGGTCACAGAGGTGGGAGCTGAGCGGGCCCCGCCCCACCGAGAACCGCCCCCAGGGCCTCCGGGAGGACTCTGTCCCAGCACAGGCCCTGAGCCGACTTCTACTTGCACCGACCAAGCCCATAGCAAGGAAGGGCGCGTGCTGATTGGCCTGGGCTGGGCCATCTGCTCCACCCCGCTGGCCCCGGGACACAGCGTCAGCTGGCCTAGGCCACCAGCTCTGCCTCTGAGAACAGGATGGAGGCGGGGACCCTGGCGCTCGGGGCACAGGGTCACTGTGGGGCTGGGGGTGCCCAGCATGCAGTAGGCGCTCCTGGAGAGGCGACCCTCGCACGGGGAGGTGGAGCTCCTCTGTGGTCCCAAAGGATAGATTGGTGTCCGTGAGTGGAAACGCCAGGCAGGTGGGTTCTGAGTTTTCTCCTCGCTGTGCGCTGTGCCATCCTCAGTGAGCCTCCCGTCGCCAGGAGGGAACAAGAAAGCCATCAAGAACTCTGGGCATGTGGTCAAGAGGGCAGCTGCCAAAGGGGGTGGGGAGCAGGTGTCCTGGGAGGGCTGTGGGATGCGGGGACTCTTTCCTCTAATGGTGGCCCACGAGGCAGAACCAAGAAATAAGGTCATTAACTCTTTTCCGTTAAAAAAAATTAAACCTTCAGAAATGGGCAAGAAAAGAGAATTAAGAGCTTAAAACTTCTTGAGCCTCTGGCAATCTGGTCCCGAGGGCCAGGGGGACGGGGCGCAGCCACAGCCAGGCTCAGACCGGGCAGGGTGGTCCCATGGACGCTCAGGGCCTGAGCGAGGCAGAGCTGTGGGCTCCCCTGGACCCGGTGGAGGGGACGGAGAAGGAGGTTTTGGAAAGATCCTGCCCACCAAGCAGACTCCAGGGCACTAGGTCAGGCCCACGTGTGCCACACAGAGACACTTGTCCTTGTCACGAGTCCCCAAACATCAGGGATACAACAAACCATTTGCCCAGCACCTCCACTGAATCAGGGGACGGAAGGCTGCAGGCGGGTGTGTTCAGGGAATATGCAAATGTGAGCCCGTTTTTAAAAAATAATACTTGCTTTTAAAAATATATATATATTGGGGCCAGCGCTGTGGCGCAGTGGGTTAACGCCCTGGCCTGAAGCACCAGCATCCCATATGAGCGCCGGTTCTAGTCCTGGCTGCTCCTCTTCTGATCCAGCTCTCTGCTATAGCCTGGGAAAGCAGTAGAGGATGGCCCAAAGTCCTTGGGACCCTGCACCTGTGTGGGAGACCCGGAAGAAGCTCGTGGCTCCTGGCTTCGGATTGGCGCAGCTCTGGTCATTGTGGCCAGTTGGGGAGAGAACCATCAGATGGAAGACCTCTCTCTCTCTCTCTGCCTCTCCTCTCTCTGTGTAATTCTGACTTTCAAATTTTATATATATATAATATATATATATATATATATAATTACTTGAAAGGCAAAGAGACAGAGAGAGGGCTCCCATCCTCTGGCTGTAACACCCGGGGCCCAGGGCCAGGCTCCAGCTGAGAGCTGGGGAGCCCGTCCAGGCCTCCCGAGTGAGTGGCAGGAACGCAATGGCCTGAGCCGTCACTGCCGCCTCCTGGGGTCCACATGAGCCAGAAGCTGCAGTCAGGAGGTGGAGGTGGGCGTGGCCCCGTCCTGGCTGGCCAGCCGCCTGCCCGCCCCCACTCTGCCCTGTTATGTAAGGCACTGGAGCATTCCTGGAGCTCGTATCCTCAGGGCATCCTGGAACCAGTCCCTCACGTTCCCAGGTGTCAATCTGCATTTGTTGTGAATTTTAGGATCTGTCTATTTATCTGAAAGGCACAGAGACAGAGACAGAGGAGACAAGAGACAGAGAGCTCCTCCCTTCTGGTTCACTCCCCAAATGCCCGCAAGAGCCAGGGCTGGGCCAGGCTCAAGCCACGAGCCTGGAAACTCCCACGTGGACAGCAGGGACCCAAGCACTTGAGCCGTCACCTCCCGCCTCCCAGGCTGTGTCTTAGCAGGAAACTGGATCGGAAGCCGAGGAGCTCAAACCCAGAGGCTCCGAGACAGGATGTCGGTGCCCCGAGCGGCGACTTAACCCCTGCCTCAGATCCCTGCCCCCCCGTGTCGTTCCCGCCGCTCGGGACCCCGCGCCCCAGCTCCGAGAAGCCCTGAATCAGTGAGGCAGTGGCTTGCGAGGACGGCCGGTGGGGGGACGGGGCTGATGGCGACGTAGCCTGAAGGTGACTCACGTGCACCTGCCACATGCCAGGCTCTGGGAGGAAACAGCCCCCTGCCCTGCCAGTAGAGACAAGTGGCCCCAGCCGTGCCCCCAAAGCCAGAGATTCAAGCCCAGTTCCTTCCAGCTCTGACCTTGAACTGGGAGAGAGGGAAACCAAGGGCAAAGGAGAGGCAGCCGCCTGCCTGGCCGCCCGTGTGCTTGTGGAAGTTGCTCCTGCCAGGGTCGGTGCTGAGCAAACCGTAAATCACCCCCAGAGGGGTCCCGGGCTGCCCCAGCATTGCTGCAGTGACGACCCCTCAAGGGCCCCTGGGTCCCGCCTGGGCCCGGGGGACAGCGGAGGAGGCTCTGAGCTTGGCTCTCCCACCCGCGAGGGGGTGCCCCTGAGCCAGGCAAGCCACTTCTCTGTGGCACCCTGAGGCCTCTGCACTGGTGAGCGGACAGGCCAGGCCTGGCCCCCCAACACTGAGAAGTTAGGGAGCCCTCCGAGGGGGCTTGGTGGGGGGAGGGGGTTGCACAGGCACAGCCATGCCCAGCAGCACGGTGCTCCACAGGGGCCCTGGGAGGTCCCCGAGGCTTGAGCGCCCCAGACCACCCGGAATTTGCCGGATAACAAGGGGAACAGGCCAGCTCCTGGATGCGCCACGGAATCCGAGGACTGGAAACAAGGCAAGCCTGATGTTCCTCAGGGTTCTGGGGACTCGTGGGTTTTCCGTGGCTGGCACTTATTGAGCACCTACTGTATACACTCTACACATATTGTCTTTGCTCCTTTAAGATCCCCGTGAAGCTGTTGGAGGTGGGGACGTGGAGGCTCAGGGCAGTAGGAATTGGCCTCAGGACACACAGCTTGGAAGTGGCGATGCGGGGATTTAAACCGAGCTCTCTCTGACCCCCCATGTCCTTTCTCAGGGCCCCTCTGAAGGCAAGACGCTCACTCATTTCACCCAAGGGAGTTTATTCATAGGTATTCAACTAAGCACACGCTGTGCCCAGCCATCACCGAGGGATACACAAAGGCCTGGGTCTGAGCCTTTAGGGAATCGGAAAATGAAACACGAGAGACAGGTGGGGAGCGATGCCCAGGCTGCATTCCTAGAGCTCACACTGGACCCCCCTCCCTCCCGCCCAAGCCACCAGCAGGGCTGCCCCCACCTTGAACGTGAGTGAAGGAAATGGCCCGGGACGACAGGTGCTTGCTGTGGCCACCAGATGGCGCTGTAAGCTGGCAGCGCAGCCTGCCCTTGGCGACCAACAGGTCACCTTGGGTCCTTTTTTCTAGAGGAGATGACCGCACTTGGCAAGCGAAACAGCCCACAGGAGTGGAACAGAGGACACCTGCTGATAAGCGGGTAAAGACAGCCAGGATGCAGAGACTGGCGGAGAAATAATGCCCAGCTGCAGTCCCGGTGGGGAGGAGTCCCGGGGGTGGCCGCCCAGCATCCTCCAGGCAGTGCCCAAGCACACCCTCCCCCGGCCCGCTCTGCTGCCGAGCCCAGGCCCTCCCCCTCCGGGTGGCTCTAGTCCCTCCTCATGGTGTAGCCCTGGATCACGCTGTTGAAGTAGCTGGGTGTGTTGCGCTCGGGGAAGAAGAGGATCAGGTAGCACTTGGGGCCGAAGTAGCCCAGGCTGATGGCCAGCAGGTTGAGCACGGTGACCAAGAGGTCCATGATGGTGACCAGCACCCCTTCGTAGATGGACATGAAGGTGCAGAGGGAGACGGTGGAGGTGAAGGAGAAGGTCATGCTGAGGGTGATGAACTTGGCCTCGTTGTAGTTGGTGGGCAGCTCCTTGCCCATGTAGGCGAAGGTGAAGCCCCCCATGGACAGCAGCAGGTCCAGGCTGGCGTTGAAGAGCAGCGTTTTGCGGTAGTTGGGGTGGCAGGAGAGGATCATGATGGTGGGGTCCTCGGGGTCCGCGCGGTGTGTGGGGTTGGTGGTCGTGGCCAACACGTTGCCCAGCACCATGGCCAGCTTGAGGGCCGTGAGGAGCAGCACGGAGACGTAGGCGCCGTGGTAGCGCACCCAGTAGCCGTAGGCGCGCGGGAGGCGGCGCGCCATCTTGAAGATGCACGCGATCTGGAAGGAGCGCACGGTGATGCAGGCGATGCAGACGGTGAAGCAGAGGGTGAAGAGGGCCTGGCGGCAGAGACACGTGAGCACCGTGGGCGGCCCCACGTACACCGGCACCACGGCGAAGGCCAGCAGCAGCAGCGCCAGCATCAGGAAGCACATGGGGCCCCCGGCCGAGCGGACCACGGGCGTCGAGGAGTGTCTCCAGAACACGACCAGGGTGCTGAGGGTGCTGAGGAAGCCCAGGGCGGCCAGCAGGGCCACCATGATGGTGGGGACCTCGTGCCACTCCAGGAAGGCCAGCCGCCGCTTGAAGCAGGAGGTGTCGTTCCTGTGCGACCACGCGTAACTCGGGCAGGGCTGGCAGTCAAGCTCATCTGCAGAGACCCACAGCCGCCGCCGTCAGCCAGGCACCCGCGCCCTCGGAGCCCCGCGCCCACAGCCCACCCTCACGGAGCCTCCTAACGTGCTGGTCAGATCCACACGGCAGCCCGTGTCACAGGTGAGGAAGCAGAGGCCAGCAAGGGGGAATACTTTGCCCCAACTCACAAAGCCAATGTGTCACAGAGGCAGGATTGGAATCCGGGTCTCCTACCAGCTAGGACCCCTCCCTTCCACGTTCCTCCTCCTCCGACCCGGTGGGGGAGACGTTCAACCACTGGGATGGACTCTGGAGGCCACGGGAGGGAGGCCAAGGAACTCACTAGCCAGCTTTTGCCTAGCACCTGCTGCGCGCCCTGGCCTCTGCCAGGCACAGACACACAGTAGGTGCTTTTACGGGAGATGAAAGCGTTCGCTTGATCTACTAATCAGTGAGGTCGGGAGAAGGAATTTGTTTTGAGCCCCGGTTCTGCTCTGTGCGGACAGAGATGTTGGCGTCCACCCTGCCAAGAGCTGTCGGTTCTTGTCACGGAAGTCACCCGCCCCCCGTCTCGCTGAGCAGCCACTGGGTGCTAGGACCCTGCTGGGCCCTGGGGAGACCAGGACACGAGCGGACGTCTAAGGTTCGTGGAAAACAGAATTAAGAGACAGGCTTCTTTGGTGCAAAGTCTTTGAAATCTTTGGGCGCAGTGGATTAAGCTGTTTTGACGCCAGGTTCCCATATGGGCGCCGGTTCAAATCCCAGCTGCTCCACTTCCGGTCCAGCTCCCTGCTAATGCACCTGGGAAAGCAGTGGAAGATGGCCCAAGTGCTTGGGCCCCTGCACCCACTTGGGAGACCCGGATGGAGCTCCTGACTCCTGGCTTCAGCCTGGCCCAGCCCCAGCCAGCTGTGGCCATCTGGGGGAGTGAACCAGTGGATGGAAGTCTTCTTTCTCTCTGTCTCTCCTCCTCTCTCTGTAACTCTGACTCCCAAATAAACAAACCTTTTAAAAAATTCATTTTGGAATCCACACATATGCGGGGCCTTCCAGAAGTTTGTGAGAAACGCGTGTGGTGAATAAACTGTATCAGAAATGTTTTGCACCACAATCACTTTCTCTCAAGTTCATTCATAAAAGATTGATTCACTTGAAGGCAGAGTGACTGAGAGAGGGGGAGACATGGGGCATTTGCTGGTTCACACGGCTGCACAGCCAGGGCTGGGCCAGGCCGTAGCCAGGAGCCAGGAGCCCCATCCGGGTCTCCCACGTGGGTGCAGGGGCCCAGGCACTCAGGCCATCATCCGCTGCTTTCCCAGCACATCAGCAGGGACTGGATCGGAAGTGGAGCAGCCGGGACCAGAACCGGCGCTCTGAAATGCGATGCTGACATTGCAGGCGGCAGCTTACCCTGCTGCACTACGACGCCGGCCCCATCTTTTAATCCCGTTTCTCATGAACCTTCCAGGTTCCCTCCTAAATCAGACACTGGCCTGCCTGCCAGAGAGCGTCCTGCAGGGAGATCTATCCACTCATTCATTCATTCATTCATTCATTGTCCAGTGGGCCCTGGACAGACATGGCCGCTGGTCCTCAGACACCTACAGCCCCCGGGGAGACCCCAGAGACCCTGCCAGAGGGAGGTGCCCCAGAGACCACAGGGGCGGTTGCGGGCAGGGGAGGGGCGTGCGAGCTGTACCTGCAGTTTGGTTGAGGAAGGTGCCGGGAAGGCAGTCGAGGCACTCGAAGCAGCAGGGGTGCATGCCCACGGGCTTTTTCCTCTGCCCGGGCCGGCAGCTCTTGGAACACATGGACACCGGCACCTGGGGCAGGTGTGTAGGACACCCTGAGGCTCCGCCTCTCGCACTCCGGCTCCCTGGCAGGATGCCCAGCCCCTCCCAGGAGGACTTGGATGCCTGATCGCCATCAGAGCTGAGTGAGACCCAGGCAGGGGCCTGGCCTGCAGCCTCCTGGTCTACCTTGAGCATTTTCAGTGATCCGGGCAATCCATGACCTGTGCTTGTGTCACTCTCTGCCGCTTGCAGCCCAGGCTCCTAGCTAACACGGCTCTGCAGGTGGACGAGAGCAGGCGGGCAGCGGCCGCGCCTATGGTCTTCCCTGCTCTATTTCCAGAGCCTAAAGCATACACACGTGTCTGATCGTTGGGCCCTAAAGGAGTGAATGAATGACACACAGAGGGGGAGGGTGCAGAGGAAGGAGACCCAAGGGCTGGGGCTTTGCATCCACATGGGGAAAGAGAACGGGGCTCCTGGCTGCAGCCTGGTCCAGCTCCGGGTGTTGTGGCCACCTGGGGAGTGAACCAGAGGATGGAGGAGCCCTTCCCCTGCCCCGCCCAGTAACTCTGCCTTTCAATAAATAAGACAAGTGTTAGAGGGAGAGAGAGAGAGAGAGAGAGAGCGCGCGCAATGGAGCAGATGCAGGGAGGAGGAAGGCAGAGTGGGTGGGGCAGGCGGGAATTGGGGTGCACAGTGGAGGGAGGGGAAGGTGGGGGTAGGGGAGCCCCATTCCAAGGCTGCTCATGGGTGCCCTGAGACGGGGCCAGCAGGAGGTCAGTGAGGTTCTTGAATGGGGAGTGAGCTGGGTTGTGTGAAAACCACACTGATGGGGGCCAGGGCCGTGGCGCAGTAGGTTAAACAGCCACCTGCAGCGCCAGCATCCCACATGGGCACCGGTTCGAGTCCTGGCTGCTCCACTTCCTTTTTTTTTTTAAAGATGTATTTATTTATTTGAATGTCAGAGTTACACAGAGAGAGAAGAGAGGCAGAGAGAGAGAGAGAGAGAGAGAGAGAGAGGTCTTCCATCCTCAGGTTCATTCTCCAGATGGCTGCAACAGCTGGGGCTGGGCCAGGCTGAAGTCAGGAACCAGGAGACCTTGCATCTGGGACTCCCACGCGGGTGCCGGGGCTCAAGTACTTAGGCCATTTCTGCTGCTTTCCCCAGGCCTGTTAGCAGGGAGCTGGATTGGAAGTGGAGCAGCTGGCACACAATCCGGCACCCACATAGGATCCCAACATCGCGGGCAGTGGCTTTGCCAGCCACGCCCGGCGCCGGCCCCTCCATCTTGAGAACTGTGGTGTGAGAGCAGAGGAAGAATAAAGCAGGCCGCTCTTCCTGCACTCACTGAGGCGCTGGAAAAGGAGACGCGGGGAGGGGAGTTGCGGGCATACAAGAACCGAGAGAATGATCCGGAAGCCGAATAAAAACAGCGCCCGAAGAGATGAGCTTGACTGTGTCACGTGGCAGTCACGGGTCCACTGCGACGGTCACCACTGGCTGAGCCACACGCAGACAGCATCCATCTAGACAGAAGCAAGCTCAGACGAGTGGCGTGGGTGATGGCCTCACCGGGGTGGGTGTGGGAGCCACTGGGGGCCACGTGCACGGATCCGGGGAGCCCTGACTCCGGGGCTCACAAGCGGAAACCTGAGTTCTTGTCGGTTCCATCAGAGACGGGGCTCCCAGGGCAACCCGCAGCCTCAGACGCTGGAGCCACGCGCCTTGGAGGACAGCGGGGTCCAGCGTCCCACAGCGGAAGCTGCCTCTGAGATAGCGAGTGGCAAACAAACCTGAAAAATAAGGCGCTCAGCACGGGGGCTGCATGCGGGCCGGCCGGAGGTGAGGACTGCTGGCCGGCCGGAGGTGAGGACGTGTGGCCACTTTCGTGAGCTCACCCAGCAGCCCCCCAGCTCTCCGGGGTGGAACTGGAGACTCATAGCCCCCCATGGGTTCCAGCGGGAGGAGGGGAGGAGTCACCATCCTGAGCCACAGCTCGGGCTGAATCTTCGAGCAGAGCTGTTTCACCATAGCCCAGCAAACGCGGGTTTTCCCAGAGCTTACCCGACACGGAGGAGGGGCGATTCGGGTGGGCAAGGGCAACAGCCTTAGATCCAGGCTGGTCCCTTGCCTGCGTGACCAAGAGCAGACCCCAGACCCTGCGTTCTTCCTCGACCAGCTGGACCCTGCCCTGACTGTTAGCCAACTCTCCCAAGTGCTCCCCGCTCTCTGAAGAGCTCAGCCCCGAGTCCCCCAGCCTGCCTACGCCATCAGCCTGCAGCTTGTATGAGAGCCTGCTCTCTGCTGGGGGACCGCAGGGGCCCTCTGCTGTGTCTCACTGGCCCTGAGCCCCTCTCGGGCTCGTTCCCGGAGAGACTGGTGCGGCTGTGGGTCTGGTCCTGCCTCCTCTGTGTCTTGCTCTTCTTTCCTTACAGGTTCCCAGTTCCAGCTCCTCCTGAGCCTTCCGGTCTTGTCCAAGGGTGGAGGGGGAGGGGCACTGAGAAAGGCTAGCCCAGGGGCACGGACTCCCTGAAAGCCAGGGTTAGAGGACACTCCCCCGCCCCGCCTTTCCACCACAGCCATCAGACCCTGCACAAAGGTTGGCAAAGCTCAGACTTTGTCGGAAGGCGTCTAGGGAAACCCAGAGGTGACAGCAGGGAGATCACAGCTACAGGAAACGGGACCTGTGGTCGGTCTCCCACCCAAGTCAACAGAAGCCCTCCCTCTCAAGTTCCTCAGTTCTCTTTGCCCAAACGCACCCCGTTTAGACTTTCAACCCCAAATCCCGAGGCAGGACAGCAGCCAAAAAACACCGTCGGAAGAGGCGAAGCACGCTTCTGCAGCAAACTCACGCGTGGCCTCTCCTTGGGAACCATCACGTGGAGAAGTTATGGCAAGTGATTCATTTGCCAAGGACCCCAGTTGTAAAAGCAGAAACCATGAAAGAAAGCATGCGTCATGCAAATTCTAAACACTAGCGCCAGCTGTAAAACCAGGGCCACAAACACGCTAGTAGGGATGAGCAATGCCGGTCCAACAGAGGCCAGACGTGGCTGAGGGAAGAATCGGTGCATTGGAAGCCGTGTTGGCAGAAATCCCCACAGTAGGGGGCAGAGAGAAAAAGTGGAGGAAAAAGAATAGGATATCCAGGGGTTATGGGACAATTACAAAAGCTATAAATACTCGCAATGAGAATAGAAAAAGAAGAAGCAAGAAGAGGAAGAGAAACAGAATGAGAGAGAGAAGAGATTTGACCTAATAATGGCAGTCAGTTTTCCAACGTTAATGACCACACCAGACCATAGACCCAGGGAGCGCGGAGGACCCCGACTAGAAAAAATACCAAGTAAGTGACGCCTGCAGCGTCATGGTCAGGCGCGAACAGTGAAGGCTCAGGGAAAGCTCAGAAGAGGTGGGGAGGGAGGAAAAGAGACGTCTGTAGCGACGGAAAAGTCCATCCACCAGATCCATACAGCCCCAGCAGGAGAGCCCCAAAATCCGAGAAGCAGAGATCCCGAGTGAAGGAGGAATGGATAAGTTAGCAGTAGTCAGTGCACTCTCCAATGTCCCACTTGCAGCACTGAATCGAACGACACAGAGACGGATAAGGACAGCACATATATAAACCAGTTAAGGCTGACCCCCACAGACCGCCGTCGCTCCCAGCAGCCGGAGGCACAGCCTTCTCCAGGGCCCTCGGAACGCTGTCCAGCATGAACTCTACTAACGTAGAAACGGCCAGAAAACAAGGTTTAGGGGCCGGCACTGTGGCGTAGCCGGTACAGCCGCTACCTGTGAAGCCAGCGTCCCATGTGGGCTCCGGTTCAAGTCCTGGCTGCTCCACTTTTGATCCAGCTCCCTGCTAATGCACCTGGGAAACCATGTGGGCTCCTGCACCCACATAGGAGACCTGGAAGAAGCTCCTGGCTCCTGGCTTTGGCTTGGCCCATCCTGGCTGTTGCAGCCATTTGTGGGATGAACCAGTAGATGGAGGACCTCTCCTCTCTCTCTTCCTGTCTCTTCCTCTCTCTCCCTGTAACTCTGCCTTTCAAATAACTAAATCTTTAAAAAAGAAAAAAAAAGAGGTTTAACCGATGTAAAAGGATTGAAACCATGCTCTCCAACCACAGCACAACGGAGTCAGAATTCAGCGATGGAAAGATATGTGGGGCGCCGGCGCCATGGCTCACTTGGTTAATCCTCCACCTGTGGCGCTGGCATCCCATATGGGCACCGAGTTCTAGTCCCGGTTGCTCCTCTTCCAGTCCAGCTCTCTGCTGTGGCCCGGGAAGGCAGTGGAGGATAGACCAAGTGCTCGGGCCCCTGCACCCGCATGGGAGACCAGGAGGAAGTACCTGGCTCCTGGCTTCGGATCAGCACAGCGCCAGCAGTACTGGCCATTTGGGGAGTGAACCAATGGAAGGAAGACCTTTCTCTCTCTCTCTCTGTCTATAACTCTACCTGTTAAATAAATAATATTAAAAAAATTTAAAAAAAGAAAGATACGTGGGGCATCCACACGGCTGTGCAACGAAGCCCACTGTTAAATAACGGGGCGGAGAGGGGTTCACAAGGGAAAGCAGAGATTACAGAAGCCACAAAGCTAGAAACACAAGACGCCTTCGCACCTACTGCACGACTCCAGCCACGCGCCGTCTAAGCTGTCAAACTCGCAGAAGCAAGGAGTGAGGCTGTGGGAAGGGACACCGAGAGCAGGTGTCAGGGGTGCGGAGGGGCGGGGACCTTCTTCCTGCCCAGGGCCACTCGGAGAGTTGGAGACTCAGGACATCGACATTTCCAGGCCATACAAATGCTCAGCTTAGAGATGCACCTGCTACAGATTTACGGGGTCTGGAGTCCCGCCTGCGACTGCCTTGGCAGCGCCGGACCCAGTGATTCCGTGGGCCGGGCTCGGTGTGGAACAGCTCGGGGTTCTGGCCAGAAAGGAGAGGCGGCAGAAGGCTTTGCCGTCCGCATTGCAGGCAGTTGAGAAGGGTCTGGTTAGCGCCAGGGACCTCGACAAAAGGGAGGAAACGGGGAGGGGGGGAGGAAGGGGAGGAGGGGAGGAGGGGAGGTGCAACGCGTCCTTTAGGCTGACTGTCCCCCAGCCCAGAGTGTCAGGTTTAGGGACGAAAACTCCCTGAGCGCTGCGGTGCCACAGTCCGAATGCTAAGCTAAGGTGGCGAATTCCACGCACCGTGCTTCTGCCACAGTTAACGATAAAGCCACTTTGAAAAACAATGCAAAACATGTGGGGTACTGTGCACATAGTACCCAGAGGGAAGCTGACGGCTGTAGATATCACCGGCACAGGCAGTGGAAGGCACAGCCGCTAGTCCCAAGGCAGGAGCTATAGACAGCAGGTGACAGCGTGAATGCTGTACGTAGGGAAACTCCACTGCGGCCAAGCTGTGCGGCCCAGAGCAGGTCCCGCAACCTCTCTGTGCCCTGTTTCCTGATCGGTAAAATGGACAGACTGGTGGCAGTTTACCAACCCTGAGCTTCCACCGAACCAACAGGAAAGACAGGGCCTGTGCCGTGGCTCACTAGGCTAATCCTCTGCCTGCAGCGCTGGTACCCCAGGTTCTAGTCCCGGTCGGGGCGCCGGATTCTGTCCTGGTTGCCCCTCTTCCAGGCCAGCTCTCTGCTGTGGCCAGGGAGTGCAGTGGAGGATGGCCCAGGTCCTTGGGCCCTGCACCCGCATGGGAGACCAGGAGAAGCACCTGGCTCCTGCCATCGGATCAGCGTGGTGCGCCAGCCGCAGTGCGCTGGCCGCAGTGGCCATTGGAGGGTGAACCAACGGTAAAGGAAGACCTTTCTCTCTGTTTCTTTCTCTCACTGTCCACTCTGCCTGTAAAAAAGGAAAAAAAAAAAAAAACAAAACAAAACAAAAAAAAAAAAACACAGGAAAGACAGGACCAGAGACTGTGCAGGTGCAGATGGTGACCCTACCAGCTACTGATCCTGAATCTACGGCTACTGATCCTGAACCTCCAGCTACTGGTCCTGAATCTCCAGCTACTGGTCCTGAATCTCTGGCTATCAGTCCTGAACCTCCGGCTACCGATCCCGAATCTGTGGCTACTGATCCTGACTCTGCAGCTACTGGTCCTGAATCTGCGGCTACTGATCCTAACTCTGCGGCTACTGATCCTGACTCTGCGGTTACTGATCCTGACTCTGCAGCTACTGGTCCTGAATCTCTGGGCATCCTCCTGGATGACAAGGGCCCTTGGCACCCCAGCATGAGCCCCAAGCCCCGCCCCTGCCCCCCCCACGCCACCCCCCGCTGACCGTGTTGTCCGGGGTGTGCCAGGAGACGCTGTGGGTGACTGTCAGGTGCTTCAGCATGGGGTAGTAGGAGGCAATGCTCTGGAAGGGGTTCTGGCTCTGGTCCCACTTCCACTGGATGATTTCCAAGCTCATGGGCACGTCCCCTTGCTGGTCGAAGAAGATCTTCTGCCCCTGGAGGGTGAAGCTGACGTTCCAGAGCTCCTTGAGTAGCTGGGAGGGTGGCAGGGGAGGGAGGCAGAGCTGGCATCAGAGCCCGGCCCCTCCCGCTAGCCTTGGTTGCACCACTGTCAAATGGGGCGGAAGCATTCGGGAAGGAGCGAGCCCGGGGGGCAGCGGCTGCCGCGCACTCTGCTCTGGGGTCCAACGCACTGAGTCTGGGTCTCTGCTCCACCCTTGCTGTGCGGCCTTGGACCTGCTGCTCAGCCTCTCTGAACCCCTGACCTCTTCTGCAAAATGAGGGCAGGAAGGAGCCCATCTCCTGGGCTCCGAAGCAACATGGGCTCATCTCAGGGGCTGAGAACCCTGCCCCAGCTCAGGCCAGCGGGAGCTCACCCCCTCCCGGGGACTGTCCCTGCACCTGCTCCTGCTCCTGGGCCCCTCCTGCTTCCCTGCACCTTAGGGTCAGCTCTCCCTCCAGTCTCGCCCCAGCCCACCCCAGCCCTGTCGGGGCAGAAGCTGGTATGCACTAGAACACACTTGCAACAGGGCATCCTGCAGCCTGAATTTCAGTCCTAGCCCTGCTCTGTTTCCTGTGTGACTCCGGGCAGCCCACTCAGCCTCTCTGAGCTAACCTCCAAAAGGCTTCCAGCTCAGATGACACATCGTTCTGGACTCCAGAGCCCACGTCACCTGGGGGGATGACGCACAGACAGGCAGGCAGCCCGCCCCAGCAGCGGGGCCCTCGCCTCCTCCCTTCCCTGCCCGGGGGAGAGGCGCTGGCTGAGGAGCCTCTCCGGAACCCGCACAGGCTGCCAGGCAGTGGTTTCGGGGCTGCAGGGGCGAAGGCGCTCTGACCAGGAGGGCAGCCTGCTGGTGGACATCAGCATGGCGGAAGCCTCTCGGGGCTCAGACCCTGGGTGTCCACGTCACCGCCCTGCAGGGGCCGGGCCAAGCAGAGCTGAGCAACCCGGGACTGGAGGGATGTAATAAATGACTCCTCCCCCCAAAGGGGTGGGGAAGCACTGTCCCTGTATTCACCCAAGTGGGCAGGGGCCTGGGCACCTGGGGGCTCCCCAGTTGGGTGTGAGCCCCGTTTCCCTTCCTTCACCCAGCCCCACACCCATGTGCAGCACTGGCTCCTCATCCCAGGCAGAGTCAGGTCCACCTCTCCAGCCGTGCCCTGCGAGGCCAGGCCTTGGAGTCAGAAGTGAGGGGGGAGGGGGAGGGGGAGGAAGTGCACTGTCAGCAGACAAGATGCATTCCTTATTGCCTGCTCAATAACCCCCCTCTGCACCACACATAGGACGAGTGAGGCTCTGAGACATCACATCGCTTGCCCAAGTTTGCACAGGAGTGCCCAGGGTTTGCGTCTGGGCCTCCCATCCAGCTTCCTGCTAATGCGCACCCTGGGAGGCGGCAGGGGATGGCCTGAATACTCGGGTCCCTGCCGCCCACATGGGAGGCCCAGACTGAGTTCTGAGCGCCTGGCTTAGGGCTGGCCCTGCCCTGGCTGTTGAGGGCTATTGGGGTGTGAGCAAGGAGAGAAGAGCTCTTGCTATCTCGCTCCTGCTCTTTCAAATGAACAAAAACCCCAACCACCACAGGCCCGGACCACGTGACAGTAAAGTTCCGCTCAGTTCGTCCCCACCTGCCTGTCACCACGTGGACAGAGGGCCCACGAGGGCGACACGCGGGAGAAGCGCCAGCAGTGGCGGCAGACAGGTAAGGAGAAGCGCCGACGATGGAGGCGAGCAGGCGAACCCAGCTGCAGATCCTGGCTCCCGTTGAAGGCCCGGAGGCCCAGTTGGGTTTAAAGGGATTCTGAGAGGACCTCGAACCTTGACCCTTGGTTCAGCACCCTGCTGGGCGTTCTCACCTGGACAATCACGGCCCCTCCAGACTGCCCTCCAGGATTGTCCCCGTAGCACGGGGAGCAGCACACGCAGCCAGCCGCCACCCTAAGTCCCCTCGTCACCCCCTCAGCTTTGCCTCTCATAGCTGCCGCCCTGCACCTGCCACTGTCCCTTCTTTGATTGACAGTCTCATCTGTGCGTTGGAAAGCAAGCACCTAGGGAGAGCGTCAACTCCCGGGGGAGCACGGCACAGACACGTGGACAGTGCCCATTCCTTCCCCCATCCTGAGAGTCAGCTGTGAGCCAGGCCAGTGCTGCCAGCCAGAGACACAGCCCTGGGTAAGGCTGATAGGGCTCTGTTTTTCCAGGCTTAGGCTGGGAGTTGGGGTGGGAGACAGAACGCACATAGGCAAATCAACACATTGGCAACCAGCTGAGCCCATGAGGACTAGAGATGGCATGGCCCAACGCCGGGCAGTGTGTGAGTGCTACATACAGTCGCACAGGTTGTGTCCTGCACAAGGGGATGCGGTTAGTGCCGTGCAGAGATGCCACATGTGGTTCACCAAGTGGGGTGCCCTCCCAGGGCCGTGTCCGCCTCCGGGACAAAGCCCTGCTTCTCCCTCTAGCGTCACCTGCAGCTCCCCACGATGCTGGCCTGACCTGGGGGCCAGGCTACTGCTCTCCCACTCTCCTCCAGGAAGAGCCAGTGCCCGCCCTCCCGTCTACTCCAGTCCTGCCTTCCCTGACACCCTCCGCCCCGCGACGGCCTCTGCCCTCCCTGTCCGGCAGCGGCTCTGACTTCCTGCTGCACTTGGCAGAGACGGACATAGTAACCATCCTCACCTCCTCCTGGCCTGGCACCCAGTAGGTGCTCAGGAAATCAGGACATCCTGACTGCTGTGCCGTGTGCCCTTTGGTCTGGGCTGCTGTAGAGGAAGGCACAGTCCTGCCAGTTGTGGCTGGGAGAACCATGGCACAGTGGGCCAGGCCCAAGTTCAAGGTCATGGTCACTCACCACTGGGCCAACACAGGCAGGTCACTTCGGCTCCCTGCCCCTCGGGTCCCTATCTGTAGGTTCCCGGCTGCCTGACAGTCCAGCCAGAGACACACTGTGTGCTGGACACAGTCAAGCCCCCGTGATAATCACGTGTTCTCCCCAGGCGGCAGGACACGTGGCCACAGGTAGCTTTCCCTGCTGGCACAAGGATTCCTTTCCAAAAGTAGCTGTGTACTTTTAGAGATAAGAGCATAGTTCCAGGTTGGGCCCTGAGATTACAGGGTAGAAACGGCAATTAAAATAGGAGCAAGGGGCCAGCGCTGTGGCGTAGTGGGTAAAGTCGCCGCCTGCAGTGCTGGCATCCCATATGGGCGCTGGTTCAAGTCCCCGCTGTTCCACTTCTGATCCAGCTCTCTGCTATGGCCTGGGAGAGCAGTGGAAGGTGGCCCAAATCCTTGGGCCCCTGCACCTCCATGGGAGGCCTGGAAGAAGCTCCTGGCCCCTGGCTTCAAATCAGCACAGCTTCAGCTGTTGGGGCCATCTGAGGAGTAAACCAGTGGATGGAAGACCTCTCTCTCTCTCTCTCTCTCTCTCTCCACCTCTGTCTCTCTGTAACTCTGCCTTTCAAATAAATAAATCTTAAAAAAAAAATAGGAGAGAGAATTCTTCAGTGCTAATGAAGTGCTCTGTTAAGGAAGTGGACAGCTATTTGGGGAGCAGAGAGGGGGCTGGAAAGAGGGGAGAAGGGGGAGGTGGCTGAGGGCTAGCGTAGGAAGCCAGTCCCAAACTGTGACAAAGCCATGGCACTCGCTCAGAGAAGAGACACGAGCGGCAAAGTCTGAAGTGTGCATCGCTCACGGACCCCTGTGCCCCTGTGCCGCCCAAGTCTTCATGGTCAGGTGCATGCACGTGTGTGTAAGTACCTGCACGTATGTGTGCGTGCACCTGTGCATTGTGTACATGCGTGCATGTGTGTGCATACGTGTGCGTATGTGTGGTCAGGAAGATACAGATGCAAACTCCAGATCTGACTCCAGAGGAAGCAGAACCGGGCAGTGCGGAGTCCACAGCCTGATGCTGGCCCAGGAGAGAACACAGGCCCATCCCCCACAGCGGGAGCCATCGGACTTCTTCTAGAGAGTCCCAGCTGAATCTCCAAGGACGCACTCTCCTGGACTCACTGTAGAGGGAATTTGGGGTTGGCACTAGGAAGGACCTCTGGCTCCGTGTGACGTGGGCAGGGACGCCCCCATCACCTCTCCACCCCTGTGTCCAGAAACCACCCCGCCCCCATAGTGAGAGGGTGCCCTGCCGTTTCCATGGCAACCGTGGAGCCTGCACCTGTCAGCCTGTGGGGGCCCTCACCTGCCACGGGTAGACCACGACCTTGGCACAGCCGGTCTGGTTGCAGCGGAGGAAGCGGTGCAGGGCGTGGGCCACAGCGTAGACGGCCGTGTACACGCTGTAGACCACGCGCTCTCCCGACTGTGTGAGGATGGTGCTGTAGGTCGCAGTGGTGTTCAGGCAGTTGTCACAGTCCTGGTTGCAGGTGGTCCTGTTGGGTGGCGGTGGCCTGGTCTTGGTGCGGCGCACGCGGAACTCGCTGAAGCCCGGGATGGGCACTGCCTGGACGGTGAGGCCCAGGAAGGTGCCGGCGCCTCTCAGCTTTTTGTGCAAGACGGGGTCGATGGCCCAGGACTCGGAGGCGATCCACACGATGTCGCTGAATTTCCAGAGCTGCACCTCGCGGAAGAAGTTGTGCAGGGACAGCTCGGGCGAGAAGATGACCACCACGTGCGCCGTGCTCTGCCGCAGCTTCTGCAGGATGCTGGCCAGGCGCTCGCGCTCCGCCGGGGTCTGGGACTGGTTGGGCTCCGGCGTGGGCAGCACCTCCTGGAAGGCGATGCAGATGTCGCTGCGGGCCAGGCGGGTGCTGAGCGCCTGGCTGTTGTCGCGGCCGTAGTCATCGTTGCTTATGAGCACAATGATCCAGTTCCAGTGGAAGTGCAGCATCAGCTGCACCATGGCCTCCACGTGGTGGCTGGCGCTGGGCACGGTGCGCAGCATGGCCGGGAAGCGCTCCTTGTTACGCAGCTGGTCGCTGATGGCGCTGTAGGTGATCTGCCGACAGGAGGGCCCGGCGTTAGCAAGGGCGCCACAGGACTCCACCCGCCGTCACCTTCCTGGCAGGCATTCAGTTTACGCCACCATTACCACGGCCATCGGGCAGTGACCTGTGACAGGAAGCCACCGTGGGCCAGACTCTAGGCTGGGTGCACCACATCGGCACGGTCAACGCGTGGGGAGCACCTACAGTATGCCACACCCTGGGCGAGGTGGCATACATCATTCTCATTCCCATCGTCTAGAAACACTTATTGAGCGCCTACTGTGTGCATCTCTGAGCAGAGCAGCTCCTCCTCACCTTCACCATCACCATCAGCCCAGCACTCACCACATTTCTCCCCTTGGCCTCCCAGCCCCCTGCCAGGGTCTCCTCTCCCCCTTGTCCACCCGCTCTCCCTCTGTGGCCGTCCCATCCAGTCTCCTGGCTGGAAGTACCAGCTCCGTGCCACTGCCCCTGGTGGCCTCGGCCTGGGGCCTCTCTCCAGGACTTCAGGGTGGTGTTCACGGCTGCCTGACACACGTCTCACAGGAACACATCCCAGCCTGAGGTCCTGCTCTCCTCTGAACCCAGCTCGGCGGACAGCAAACCCTCCCTTCCAGTCACTCGGACCAAAACTTTCGGTGTCACCCTTGGATCTTCTCTCTCACGCCAGCCACGTTCCATCCGCCAGCAAATCCTTCTGGATCCACCTTCTGTGCGTGTCCCTCCCGAGCCTGCCCCCTCCCCACCCCATCCTGGCCTGGAGGTGAGAGGATCCCTGCGCCTCGTGCCCCACAATCTGCATTTCACGGGGCAGCTGCGTTGACCCTGCTCACGCCCACGTCCCATCACGGTGCTCCTCTCGGGTTACCCAGGAAAAGCCAGAGTCCCGCGGTGGTCCCTGAGGGGCTTCCTCACATGCCAGCCCTCCCCCCTCAGGCTGCCTGGCCTCCTAGCCCCCCTCTCCCCTCCACCGCCTGGGTTGCTCACCTGGCTTCATGCACACACCAGGCACCTCTCATCCCCTCGCACTGGTGACACCCCTTTCTGGAAGGCTCTTCCCTGAGACACCTGCCAGCTCCCTCTCTCGCTCTCCCGTCCTTGTCCCGTTCATTGTCAGTGAGCCCCACCTGCCGCTCGGCTGCAAACTGCTCCTTCCCTATAGCCGTTCCAGTCCTCTTTCCAGCACCCAGCAGCCCCAACTCTGTCCTCCATCTCCTGCCTGACCCACCTTCCAACACCCTGGGCCACTGATGTATTCAGGCTGGCGAGGCTGTCTCTCCCCACCCGCGGGGGCGCTCCTTGATGCTGGCTGGTTTTGTCCCCAGCACCTAAAACAGTACTTGGCATGCAGTAGGCACTCAGTAAATATTTGCTACAGGAACAAAAGAGTGAACTCAGCCCTGGTCTGGATGCTTCAGATAAAAATGTCAGCGCTGGGGCAGGCAGTGGGCACAGCAGCTCAGACATCATCTGAGGCTCCTGCATCCCTTATCCGAGTCCTGATTCGAGTCCTGGCTCCTCCGCTTCCAATCCCGCTTCCTGCAATAGCTGCTGGTTCAAATACTTGGGTCCTTGCCATCCACATGGGAGACTCGGATGAAACTCCAGGATCCTGGCTTTGACCCGACCCAGGCATGGCTGTTGTGGGCATTTGGGGAGTGAATCAGCAGATGGAAGATGCGTGTGTATATGTATGTGTGTGTGTGTGTGTGTGTGTGTGTTACCTTGAAAATAAACAAAAGTCAAGAAATACTTTACAATATTCATTGAGCACCCACTGTGTGTGAGAGCTTTGGCAGCAGTAACTCCAGCAGTGGTCAGGACCTACTGTGTGCCAAGTCTATGCTGGCCACGCTCTAGTGGACAGATGCTCTCCACCGGTGCTAGATGAGGCACTTTCAATCAGGCTGATGGTGGCAGTTAGAAAAGCCGGAGTAACCCTAACAGCACTTCCTGGAGGACCTCCTATGAGGCAGCTCTTGGGCTGAGCCAGTGTACGGACAACGTGGAATACTCTCTGAGTTTTCACTCACGGGCAAGACGCTTTACATAATAACAACAGCCTACTGCGTGCCAGGAACTCTTTCAAGTTGAACACCTCCTTCTTCCGACCGTCCTGGGATGCAGCTCTCAGGCTCCCACTTTACAAGTAGGGAAACTGAGGCCCAATGGAGTTGAGAGATTTGCCAAAGGTCTGTAAACCCCCAAAGCCTGAACTGACCCACAGGCTGGGCTGCCTTCCCAAGGTTGCGATGGATGTCCTGACCCTGCACAGTCCCTAGCCCCTCCCCCATGACTGACAGGGGGAAGCGGCTCTGAACCCTGCGCACAAGCACCATCCTGTCCCTGCCCATCCTCTTTGCCTGAGCCCCGGGGCCTCACCTGGGGGAGAAGAAGGAGAGAGAGGAAGTTGGCCACATTGATGGTGGACTCAGAGTTGTCAGGGCCAATGACGGCCACCACGCGGGGCACGTAGGAGCTGTAGTCGTCCAGGATGGGCAGGAAGTAGTCGTCTCCGGCCAGGAAGTAGAGCACAGGCTGCACGTTGTTGGAGATGTAGCAGACGTCCACCATCTCGTAGCCCAGCCGCACGCCCGGCAGCAGGCCGCTCTGGTTGTTGATCTCCTCCACGGCAAAGCGCATGGCTTGCATGAGGTTGTAGCCGAGCACTTTCACCTCGTACCTGTCGGTGCCACAGCGAGGGTGGGGTGGGAGCAGGTGCAGGGTGAGGGGGGCAGGGATGGGACAGCCAGCCTGCTCCCCCCCGCCCAGCACAGGAAAGCCACGGAGAAAGAGCCGCTCCAGAAGATCCCGGCATTTTCTCCGCATAATTGTCACCATACCACCTCTCTAGGGTCGCCATCACCCCTGTGACCATCACTGGTGCCAGGATCCCTGTGGCCACCATCGCAGCCACCCCTATGATTCCTGCCACCTCTCCTGAGGTCTGCTAATGTGACTACTATTACTCCAAATAAGCTCTACGATCAACCACTACCCCTATTGCCAATATCACCACCACCATCATCATGTCACCACATTCTTGTGACCACCATCACCACAATCACCATGGTTACTGTCATCACCATGATCACCATGGTCACACCATCATTACCACCAGCATAGCTTCCACTATCACCACCGTCACACTACCACCATCATCAGGACCACCATCATCACCATCAACACTACAATCATTACCATCACAACCACCACCATTACTACCACCATCCCCACCATCATACCCACCACCATCATCACCACCATCATCACCATCATCACCACCACAATCATTACCATCACCACCATCACCATCCCCACCATCATACCCACAACCATCATCACCACCATCACCATCACCACCATCATCACCATCAACACTACAATCATTACCATCACAACCACCACCATTACCACCATCATCACCACCATCATACCCACCACCATCATCACCACCATCATCACCATCATCACCATCCCCACCATCATACCCACAACCATCATCACCACCATCATTATCACCATCACCACCATCACCATACCCACCACAATCATCATCACCATCATCACCATCATCACCACAATCATTACCACCATCACCATCACCACCATCATACCTACCACCATCATCACCACCATCACTATCACCACCACCACCATCACCATCACCACCATCATTATCACCATCACTACCATCGCCATCACCACCATCACCACCATCATCACCACAATCATTACCATCACAACCCAACACCTTCACCATCACCATCAACATCACCACCATCACAACCACCACCACGGCCATCACCACCACCAGCATCACCACCACCACCACCAGCACAATTACCATCATTACCATCATCACCACCCCATCGCTATCCTCTTCACCATTTCGTTATCACCAGTACTACTGCTATCAACAGTGTCAACATCAGCACCACCATCACCCCATCACCACTGTTACCTTCCTTAGACTCCCCGCCATTACGCCACGTGTCAGGAGATGCCATGTCATGTTCGGCACCATCTCTGGCACTACCACCCTCGCCACCCCCGACGCCACACAGATGGTGCAGCAAGCGCTTCTGGTCTTTTACACGTTCCTTCCTTTCTGTCTGTCTCCCAGAATGCTCCATCTTCTCTGAACGGACAGATACTGCATAAGCCCAGGCTGGCTCTAGCGTGCCACCCAGTCTCCAAGTTGCTGCCATCCCAAGAGTCCTACAGAAAAGTGGGGGGAGAGGAGACCCCCCTCCAAGTCCTGGGAGCACCCCTACTCCCCACCAGGACTTTAAAAATACAAACCTTCCCCCCACCCCAGTCTGCAGAAAATCACGCTCTTCCTCCCAAAGCCTTGGCACCCGCATTCTAGAGCCCCTGGGCCGTGGGCTCACAGGAGCCCCCAGTTGCCAGAGCGGGTGCAGGTGGATTAGACCTAAAACCTTTCCAGGCTCAAACGTCTCGCCACGTTATAAACAGACACGCCCTCGGGAACACCAGGTCTCCGTGTTTCAGAACTTGATCGCCAAAGTTGTGGTGCCATGGATCGTGGGGGGCCTCCCCGGGGACCAGCAGGGTGGCTCCAGCACACAGGGTTGGGAGGGATGAGGAGCAGTGTTCTGAGCGAGGCGTCTCCCCCCACCCCACCCTCACTCCGGACACTCACTCCTCGCACTTGGGCACATGCAGTTGGTTTTGGCCAGTGGTCTTCACGTTGGCATGAAGTGTAAAAAGGCCACCCAGGAGGTAGTCCCCACCCAGGTAGAAGTCCGAGTTCTCAGCCGGCTCAGCCAGGACCTGCAGCAGGAGGAAGAAGGAGCAGGCTCTCCTGGCCTGGGGCCCCATGGCTGGCCAGTGGCAGTCTCAGGAGGGACTCTGCCTCGCTGGAGACCAGGCAGCTGGACACCAGGGCATTTGCACAGACATTTACATAGTGACGGTCCGGGTGAAGGTTCCGGGGCAGGGGAGAGGGGTGGAGAGGAGGCCAGCGGTGGGATGATCCTCTGCTGGCACACACTGAGGCCTGGGTGTCCTGCTGAGGGGCCACACCCCAGCCACCTGCCACTCAGCTGAGAACAGGGCCTGTGCCCCTGTTGCTTCAAGCATTTGCGAAAAAGGCACAGGTGCTCAACCTAAGTAGCCAACAGAGACAGAGTCTCCCAGGACTGCTGGATTCATTGCGGAGAAGCACTGCATGGGCTCATGCAGGCCACTGCGAACCCTGGGCGTGCTCACCGCTACAATCAGTCATTTCAAGAAATAAGACAAAGCCAAAATAAGAAGGATTGCATAAGTTATTTTGAAGCAATTATCTTTGGTGACAACGATCCATAGCCAAGGTGGCGTCAGCCGGGCGCACGGCCCGGCTGGGGCTTCGCTGTGTGAGCTCACGGGAGAAAGACCTGGGCACCAGGCTGTGGTCCCAGCAGGGTCTCTGGGGACTGTGAGGCCCCCAGCTTCACAACCCCCTGGATTCTATTTATTTTTGTTTTGCTAAGGCTTGGCTCGAGCGACTCCATTTTGGGCTTGGCACGTGGCAACGTGCAGATGCTCAGAAAGCAGAAACCGTGTTCAGCAAGAAGCAGGCCTCCTGCGAGGGCTCTCGTGTGAGGCTCACAGTAGCTGGGACCGTCCCCAACCCCATTTCACGGGGAGCAGGCAGAGGCCCCGAGAAGCCAGAAACACCCAGGCTGCACCACTGGCAGAGCCGGGATTCAAACCAAACAGTCTGACCCCAGGGCTGGCACTTAATTGCCATGCCATGTGACACCTCCAGGTCATTGCTTTGACTAAAAAGCAACAGCAGGGGGGCCGGTGCCGTGGCACAGCAGGTAGGGCTACTGCCTTCAATGCTGGCATCCCGTATGGGCACCTGTTTCCAGTCCAGTCCTGGCCACTCCACTTCCAATCTAGCTCCCTGCTAATGCACCTGGGAAAGCAATGGAAGATGGCTCAAGCGCTTGGGCCCCTGCACCCACGTGGGAGACCCGAATAAAGCTTCCGGCTCCAATCAGGCCCAGCCCCATATTTGCGGCCACTTGGGAGTGAACCAGCAGAAGGAAGATCTCTCTCTCTCTGTTTCTCCCTCTCTCTCTGTAACTCTGCCTTTTCAAATAAATAAAATAAATATATATTTTAAAAAAGTTCAGCCCAATCCATTAACTGTTTAAAAATTAAAAAAAAAAAAAAAGGCAATAGGAGCAAGAGTATGGGAGAATGGGTGGTGGCCAGGAGGGAGGGCTGGCCTTGCTCCCTCTCACGGCTGCCATCTGTGAGCCCACGGGGACCGAGCCCCTCTGGGTGTCCCCCTTGGACCTCATGACAAGGGACAGAGATGGGGCAGAGGCAGAAAGGAAAGTTAGAAACTCCTACAGGCAAGGATGACCACCCCCAGGGAGTCGGATGGACAGAGACGGCTCCACGCAGACTTGTGTCAGCCCGTGTGGCACAGGAGGCAGAGCGGGGGCCAGGTTTGTGTCTGGAGCAGAACTTGGGGCTCCGGGGAGGGCAGTGCACACTGGAAGGTGCTGAGTGTGGCTGACGAGAGGGTCTGCAGAGATCCCCAACCCTCCCATCGCAGAGAGGGAAACTGAGGCCCACACAGGGGCAGCCTCCTGTCTGGACTTCAGGTGGCTGCCCCCCAGCCCCAGCTAAGTCGATCAAAAGTATGTGAGGCCAGCCCCAAGGTGTCACCGAGACAGGGTAAGGAGGAAGCCGGGCAGGGCCAGCCTAGGGGAAGCAGGAGATAAATGGCGCCCGTGAGCACGTGCAGTGGGCTCCACCATCCTGTGTAACTCTGCCTCGAAAAAAACTGCTTTAGTGGAGAGATAGAAACCGAGGCAGGGAGAGAGAGAGAGAGCCCCCAGCCACTGATGCCCGCAACAGCCAGGACTGTGTCAGGCCAAAGCCAGGAGCCAGAAACTCAATTTGAGTCTCCCCCGTGGGTGGCAGGGACCCAGGGACTTGAGCCGTCCCCTGCTGCCTCCCAGGGTGCTCTTTAGCAGGAAGCTGGGACCAGAGCAGAGCTGGGGCTCACTCCCAGGCCCTCCCATCTGGGATGCGGGCGGCCCGAGCTGCGTCGTACCTCCCAGGCCAGACACCTGCCCCCGTTCTGCCTGATTGCTTCTGCGATCTCCCCGTCCTGCAGGAGAGGTGCAGAGAGCAGCAGTGACTCCTTCGAAGCCCCAAATCGAGTGTGCGGACTGGAGCAAGCTAAGACCCTCATGGGGTCCTCCTGGGAGTGGTGAGGGCAGGAGTGGGGCATCCCACTGGTGCAGAGCCGCTTCCTGTGGCTGTGGATGGACAATGTCTCTGAGGGCACAGCTCTGGAAGGAGCTTCGAGGACCTGGCTTCTGGTCCAGCTCTGCCCCAGTGTGCAGACAAGTCACTTCCATTCTCCCAACCTCAGTGTCCCCATCTGTAAAATGGACTCGGTGCTTCTGAACACGCTGAGAGTGAGGACCCTTCTGGGATCCCAAGGAAAGCCTTGCACACAAACACACCACCCCCTAAACACGGCTGTGGATCCTAGTGCAGGGTGCTGCCAGCCCACGGGGCGTGTCCACGGACTGTGGGCTCAGGTGACCTCTAGGCCACTCCAGCCTTGACATCAACCAGGAGGGGCGAGTGGATGCATCCTATGTGTTAAAGGACCCGGAGTGCCACGTCACTGTCATCTTCCTTCAGTGCTACACACAGACCATGAGCCCCAGTGTGGCCCCACACAGCTGTCCCCCTCGGGGTCCAGTCCAGGGCTGAGGTCCCTATGTACACATCTGTGTGGCTGCCGGCTGCAGAGAGAGCAGACAGCCGTGGCAGCCCTATGCAAAGCACGTGGCCTAGGCAGAGGGGCCGCTCCGGCAGGGCAGGCCCGGGAGCTGCCCATTTTCCTTGGCAAATGCTTGCCCGGTGCTCCCAGACAGGAAGGGGCTCAAGACCCAGAGGGGCTTCCCCGACCGCTTGCCTCCCCCCGCCCTGCCGGCTGGACCAGGGCAGGGGCACAGGAGTGGGGCTGGGGGCTGCATGAGCTCCACCCCCACAACCTGTCCCTGCCCTCTGTTCTCTGGCCACCGCCAGCCCCTGCTCCTAGCAGCACAGCCGCAGCTCCAGCGCAGCTGAGGGTGGGGACAGCGGGCTGTGAGACAGTTCTGAGACAGCCCCAGCCCCTCGCTTTGCAGGAGGAAGACTGGAAGTCCAAAGAGCCAGCGTTCTGGGGGTCCCCAGGGTCAGCTAAGGTCATGTGGGGGGGGGGGACTCTGCTGTGGTGGGGACACCTCCTGGGCCCAGGACCCACCAACACCTCCTCGCCAAACTCTTGGCTGCTGTCCTGGAGCAGGCGGCATCTCAGCCAGGAAGAGATCTGGAGGTTTCGAATGACCACAAGTTCAACTAACGCCAAAAGGGCGGTGGAGGCTCCGGCCTACAGGAAAGGGAGCGACCCTGGGGAGCCTTGGCAAGGCGGGCTCCAGCGGCCCCGCACCTGCCCATCAGAGTTGTGGGAGGCTTGCCGTCCCCACTGTCCAGGCAAGGAAGCCAAGTGGGGCGGCGGAATGGCCCAGGGTCACTGGGACTTGAACACAGGGCTGGTGGCACTCCAGGGCTCACACGCTCTCCATTGCACCAAGTCGAAGGCTGGATTAAAAGGAACAGACGAGGGCCGGCGCCGCAGCTCACTTGGCTAATCCTCTGCCTGCGGCGCCAGCACCCCGGGTTCTAGTCCGGGTTGGGGCGCTGGATTCTGTCCCGGTTGCCCCTCTTCCAGGCCAGCTCTCTGCTGTGGCCCAGAAGTGCAGTGGAGGATGGCCCAAGTGCTTGGGCCCTGCACCCACATGGGAGACCAGGAGGAAGCACCTGGCTCCTGGCTTCGGATCTGTGCAGTGCGCCGGCCACACGCGCCGGCCGTAGTGGCCACTTGGGGGGTGAACCAACAGAAAAAAGGAAGACCTTTCTCTCTCTCTCTCTCTAACTCTGCCTGTCCAGAAAAAAAAAAAAAAAAAAGGAGCAGACGTGGGAGGAGCTGACCCCCTATGTGGCGAGGTCATCAGCCCTCCCGTGAGTGGATGATCGTACAAGTAACAGCTCACGGTGACTGAGCCCTTCCAGGGTGAAGCTGGTTTTCACCTTTAGCCGGCTCCACTGTAGGAAAGAGCACGGTCAGCACTCTATCCCCATTCTATACCCGGAGAGACTGAGGCTCAGAGAAGTAAGTCATGTGACTCGGCCAAGGTCACCCAGCCAGGATCCCGATTCAGGAGGACTCCAGGCTGCTGTCCTTGGCACCCCGACAGGAGGTCACTGGACAGAAAGCACTCAGACACTGCCCCTGACGGAGCTGGGGACGTCCAGCCTGGGGGGGGAGGGGCAGGAAGCTTGTGGCAGGGGCCTGAAGGGCTGGGATGGGGACAAGGGGGTGGGCACGTTGTGTGGGGCTCTAGAGGGCCCAGCCTGGTCAGGGGCCGGCCAGCAGGCTTTGACTCCTCCCAGCTTCTTCACAGCCACCCCCAAACAATGAGACATGAGCCCCTGCTGGATAAATGATGGCAGGTATCACACCACAGTGTTGGAGGCTTCCTGCCTGGCACAGGTCCCTCAGTTTTAGCTCCAATGAGAGGCTGGGTGACTCTGTGACGCTAAGATCTGACCACCCGGGATCCCAGTCCTGGCTCTGCCACTTGCTGGCCTCCCCCAGGCATCTGTCTCCTTGAGCCACACTCGCCTCCCGACCATGCCCCGCCCCCCGCAGTGCACTCCAGCCATGCTGGGCCAAACGAGGGACTGAGGCCCACTGCCTGGGCACTTGGGGCTGAAGGCAGGCACGGCAGAGGCCTGGACAGAATTCTGATGTGCCCGGCAGGGACCAGGACAAGCAGCGCAGGTGCAGCCATTGGCACAAGATCTGTTTCTGCCCCTGCCTCAGTTTTTCATCTGTGAAATGGGGCTACCACAAGACCTCCTCCCTCCCAGGCTGGTGGGGAAGCTCCAGGTTAGTTGGTGGGGGCACCTGGCCAGTTAGCAGGACCTCTCCTCCTTCCTGGGCACGCACGTGTCGAGGTCCAAACTAAGAAGTCTCCGTTACTGAGCACCTCACTGGGCCAGCACTTTGAGTATTTCATTTGATCCCCAGCTCCAGGAGGAAGGTCAAGTCTGAGGCTGGAGCGGGAAAAGTGCAGGAAGAGACATGAAGACTGGGACTTGAGCCCAGGCCTGTCTGGCCATCGGAGATGTGGGACCGCAACTCAGCTGGGTCATTTCCTGCCCAGGGACCAGTTACTCAGCCTGTGCCTCATTTTCCTCACCTGTGAAAGGGGAGTGGCTGGACGAACGCCACGGGGCTGCTTAGGATCCGAGGAGCATCCTACACAACACCCGGCACACAGCCCAAGTTCAAGGAGCAGCGCCTGTTACCTGTTACCATTCGCCCCCAGCAGAACAAGAGTGGGGACGATCGCGACGGAGATGTGGCTCTGCACCTGCTGCTTCCTCCAGCCCCCCAGGAGTTCCAGGCCGGCCTGGTGGCCAGCAGCCAGCACAGGTGCCCTCTCATTTCCTTAGAGTGCACGCTCAACTGGTGGCCTGTGGGACAGCGGTGACGGCGGCATCCGGCCTCAGTCAAATGGTTCACGCTCCAGGCCCAGGGCTGGGTCCCTGGCCACAGCAGGGAAATGAGGGGCTCCTTGGGCCACCGCACACACGGGGACTTACTGTGGTAACCATGCAAAGAAGCCGCAGGTTCTGAGCAGGAAGGGGGCCTATGAGGGCCTGAGTCTGGGCCCGAGGGAGGGCGGAGAGAACAGAGCCCAACAGCTTTGCAGCAAAGGTGGGGGCTGGGGGAGGGCGCGATAAGAAGACAGTGGTAGAGGAGGGGCTTGGAGGTCGGGGACCTGATGGAGCAGCTGGGTCCAACAGCGCTGGGTCCCAACCCGCCTCCTAGTCACCGCCGTGGGGCTCTACCCACCCCTCCATCAGCCCCGACACAGGCTGCCATGTTAGGTCACTGTCAAGGTGAGAGGAGACCAGGCGGGTCAGCTCTCGGCCAGCAATCCCCCCGCGTGACCTTGGCCAACTGCACTACTTCCTCAGCATGACCTTGAGCCAGCCCCACCCGCTTCCATTGACAGAGCCTACATGTCGCCGCCCTCCCCTCCCTCAAGCTCAGGCCTGGGCACAGTCACCCATGGGCTCCCTGCTGGAGCCCAGCTCCCTCTTACATAAACCCCTGGCAGCTGCTGAGAGAGCCGGGGGAGGAGCGGCTCTGCCAAGGGGCGGAGTGTCCCCCTGCCTGCCTCTGGACGGAGACCCTTCATGCCCACAGCCCTGATGGAGGGGCCCCGGGACAGGGAGGTGTCTCTGTGGCTCAGGAAACAGCCCCTCTTCTGTGACCCACAGGTGGCGAGAGGCCCAAACACCCATCTCCCCCAGCCCCAACAGTCAGCTCCTGCACGGGCTCCCACCCAGAGATTCTGGGCTCAACAGGCTGGTCCCCACCACCACCACCACCAAGTCGTCACTTAGCCAGCCGAGCAGGAACTTCCAAGGCCATCTGCACGGTGTGTGGCCATGGGGTGAAGGAGACGGGGTTTGGAAGCAGAGACTCGGGTTTGTGTCGCAGCGATACTTCCCCCGGAACTCAGCCTCCTCTGGGACCGCTGTGAGTGAGGACACAGGCAGAGTCCGTGGCGCCTGAGTTAGGGCTCCCGAGACAGAAATAACAGGATGCGCACACAGCTGTGTGCACACACACACTGCAGTCCAAGGCCAAGGGCAGTCTGGGTGCCCTCTCTCCTGCTTGGGGGAGCTCCGTCTTTGTCCTGTACTGGTGGCCCAGCTGGGCTGACACAGGAAACCAGCCCCCTGGAGTGGCTGGGCCAGCTGTGGCCGAGGGGTCACCTGTGAGCCAGGACAGAGCCTGCTGCCTTCCTCAGCACCGACATGAATGAACCCAGCGTGTATGCATGTGACAGGATCAGCCCTGAATCACGGATGAAGACAGAAGTTCGGGGGGGCTGCAGAGCCCCTGGCTGGGAGGCAGTGAGCCCGGATGTAAACCCAGGGCATCCGGGTCCTGCGTTCCCCCCTTCACCCCTGTCAGGCTCCACTCTTTCTCCGGACACACTGAGGGTGCCACGCCCCCCCACCCCCCCCCACATCATCGATGCCATCAGACTTGGAAGGAGTCGCTGGCGGCCGCCCACCGCACCATGAAGACACCGCTTGGGTTCCGCGACAGGATTTTACTGGGTGGCATTGGCTGTGTCCTACCGCCCCCTCACAGTGCAGCCCACACCCTCCCCGGCACAGACCCCAGCACACAGCAGAGTCCACGGGGCCCGGGCGGCACTGGCACCCACTCCTGGCTGCAGCCCACGGCGTGAAATGGGTACACTTGGGGACAGCACACCTGGGGCTCACGGTGGTCTGACAGTCATCTTGAAAGTCATGTCTGAGAGACTGCTGACCGCCCGGAACACAACCAGCAGGAGGGGCCCCCGGCCACCAGCTGGCCACGTCCAGCAGACGGCGCCCCGGCCACACAGCATGGCCCACAAGGCGGGGAGGGGCCGTCCTGCAGGCACGGCTTGGTGCCTCCTGCCGGGGTGCGTCCCACCACAGCACCTGGAAAGCAGGCCCTGACAAGGGCTCTGAGGGGACGCCTCTCGAGGGAGGACGGGCGAACTCCTGGCAAAAGGAAGCCCACCCTTGGTTTTCCCAAATCACAGCTCCAGCAGGAAGGGCTGCCGCAGCCCGCAGCCCGGCAGGTGGCCTCTGGCGGCCCCAGCCCTGCCGTGTGGGGCAGAAGGCACCGGGGTTCTGTAAGGCTCGCGGTTGGGCGCGGGTCCCTGGTTCAGGGTCTGGGCAGGGGTACAGTGAGTGAGGTGGGCAGCCCAGGCCACACAGGGCAAGGCCAGCAGGTGCAGCCCACACCCTGCAGCCACACCACAGCCTGGACACCTGGCACTGGAGCCCAGGCCAGCAGCCTCCCTGAGTGCCGAGGTTTGCCGGGGCCCAGAGCTGCCTCCTTCTTCTCTCCTGGGCCCTCGCCACTCCCCAGGCCCCTGAGCCAGGAGCCCCAGTGCTGGGGAGAGGCAGACGGAGAGACAGAGAGCCTGCAGGCACCAGGGCTGCCCCCTGGGGAATTTCTAAGGTAAGGGGGGCGTGGGCCTGACCTGCTCTGAAGCCACAGCCGGGCACCTGACACCAGGGTGGGGCAGGCCAGGGGCAAGGAGGGGGTCACCGTGGTTCCAGAAAGGGGCCGCCCATGAGGAGCCGGCGGAGGGGCTGGCGGGGCCGGTGCAGGGACATCGGTGGCCTGGACAGATGGACGGGGGCCGGGTGGCGGGTGGCGGCAGCACCGAGCAGGGCTCACTGCATGTACGCATAGCGCCAGTCCCCCAGCGGCTTGTGCGTCTCCTTGATGACCTGGGGTGACGTCCAGCGCAGGATGTAGTGGGGGCCCCCTGGCTTGTCATTGGTTCCTGTGGAAGACAGTCCTGTTGAGCTAGGAGACCGAGATTCTGGGCTGCAGGGGAAGGAGGAGGGGGGAGCTGCCCGACAGAGGGACCTGGTACAGCAGCAAGGCCAGGCTCATTCTGCAGACGGACCCGGCCTGGGGCTGAGGAGAGTCAGAGGGACAGGGGAGCCCGCCTCGAGGCTGCAGGGTGCCAGGGGCCCTGAGAGCTCCAGCACACGCACGAGGGGCCGTCTACAAGTTCATGGAAAACAGACTTAAAAGATAAGTTTGGGACTGGCATCCTGGCACAGCGGGCAAGGCTGCCGCCTGTGACACCATCATCCCACGTGGACACTGGTTCACATCCTGGCTGCTCCATTTCCAACCCAGCTCCCTGCTAATGGCCTGGGAAAGCAGCAGCAGATGGCCCACGTGCGTGGGCCCCTGCCATCCACCTGGGAGACCCAGGTGAAGCTCCTGGCTCTGGCTTCAGCCTGGCCCAGCCCCAACCATTGCGGCCATTTGGGGACTGACCCCGCATATGGAAGACCTCTCTCTCTCTCTCTGCCTCTCCCTCTCTCTGTAACTCTGCCTTTCAAATAAAGAATAAGTTCATTTTGGTGAATAAAATTCTTGCAGTCCATGTTGGTTTTCCCGATACGCATTTCCCATGAACTGCAGGAAGTGCAGAGCCCACCTGTGCCGAGAACGCAGCACTGGGGCGCCAGCAGCAAGGGCGTCTGGGAGACCGGGAGCACTCGGGAAGAGGCTGGGGTCTGGGCTGCAGCTGCAGTGGGAAGCGTCCTGTGCCCCCGCCAGAGCCCCTGCAGCCCTCGGGATGCGCCGGCAGTTGCGGAGCGGCTGCCAGGGGTCCGACTGCTCGGCTCCCGGGCCCTCCCCGTCCCAGGGGACTGCAGCGGCTGGAGATGCCCTCATCCCTGATGCTCGTGTCAGCCACGCCTACATCATGAAACCACCACCAAACCCCAAAGAAGAGGGTTCTGGGAGCTTCCGGGCTGGTAAAACACCTCCACGTGCCAGGAGGGTGCTGGGCCCCAAATCACACAGGGACAGAGGCCCGGGGACTCTGAACAGACTCGCCTGACAGCGGCAGAGTGAAAGCTCGGGTTGACCCACCGCCCTCAGACCTTCCCAAGAGTTCTCCCAGCCAGCCCTGCGCCTGCCGACGCCGAGGCTCTGAGCTCGCCCAACGCCAGGGCTCTACCCGCCCTTGGAGACCTGCGTTCTGCCACTCAGAGGCCCCTCCCATGCAGATCCGTGAGAATTCCGCCCTCTGGGGCTAAGGTACTTTGGGAGCCTCGGGTGGTCGGTTTCCCCAGTGTGTCGTGTGAATTACAATGTGGGACTTCCCCCTGCATAATAAAATCCTTACTGGAACCAACACCCTCGGTGCCCCCACTACACTCGCGAGTGTCCTCTCTGAAGTGGGGAGGGGGTGTGGCACCTTCTCCCAGGAGCCTGTGGAAGCCCAGGGTGCACAGACCCAGTTACTCTCCGTGCCCTCGAGGTGATGAAGGGTCAAGAGTCCCCCACAGGAATCAGGAAAGGGGGACCCACTCACCAGAGGCCCGGGACCCCCCGAAGGGCTGCTGGCCCACCACAGAGCCGGTGGACTTGTCGTTGATGTAGAAGTTGCCGGCGGCGTGTCTCAGCATCTCCGTGGCCTCCTGGATGACATCCCTGCAGGCAGGGGAGCAGTGGGAGGGCAGTTAGCCCATCCCCCTCCAGCACCCCTGCCCGGCCCACACTGGCTTTCCAGGTCAGGGGCGGAGCCAAGCTGGGACAGAAGACTGGAGTGGCTGCCAGTGGTGGCCTTGAGCCCGGCTGCTCCTCCAGGTAGGGGCTTGGCGTACCGCCTCACTAGGCTGAGGTCTGCACGGGAGGTTCTATCCAGGCCCAATTTTCCTGTCCCCAGGAGTGGGGGACCCTGACTCTGGGTCCCTCTCAGGTTCCAGCCCCACCGCCCTTCTCTCTCTCAGAGGCAGACACAGGTAGCAACCAGCGCCATGGAGGAAGGAAAAGGCAAAGCCCCAGGGTTAGCACCGTGGGGCCTGGCTTGAGCCTGGCCTCTGCGGGACAGCAGGTGCCCCCGGCCCGGGCCTCCTTTCTCCTAGACTCCAATTCTGAGGTCAGCAAGAGGGCCCCGGCATCTGAACATTCAACAAACAGTTTGGCTGCCGGTGTGCGCCTGAGCTGGGTCAGACACTCACTTATCCTGGGCAAACACTGCCCCCGTGAGGCCGTAGCTGGTAGTGCTGTCCACTAGCTGCAGCGTCTCCTTGTACTTGTTGTCTGGGTAGACATACACAGTCAGCACTGGCCCAAAGATCTCCTGGGAGAGAGAGAGAGAGAGAGAGAGGCCCTGGGGTCAGTCTCTCCTCCTGGCCAGAGCCCTCCCAGTCTCCTCACTCTGTCTTCCCTCTCCCCAGTGCTCAGTCCCCCACCTCAGCCCTCGCACGAAGGGCCAGGGACTGGCTCTTCCTGGCTCCCTCCGACACAGTCACGTGTCCAGCTCCTCACCCCGCCCACCCTGCTCCAACCTGGCAAAGACCCAAGAACCCTCCGGTGCTCCCTGCCAAACTCCAGGAAACGGGGCTTCTGGCAGTAGCTGGTGACCACCCCACTCCTGGTGCCCCGCGGTAGCCCCGCCCTGCCCTGCCTCCCTGGACAGGCGCCTTGGCCTCTGGGAACCTGATTCCCATCTGTAAAATGGGAATGATGGCCTGCCTCTCAGCTCAGGCTAGTGCCCAGCTGTGGCCAGTCCACGCGGGGGTCGGCAAAGGCTAGCTGTTCCAGCCTCTGTGCTGGTACCGATGCTGGCTGTTGTGGGCAGTGGAAGTGCTAGGACCCCAGCCAGGGTTAGGGGCGTCAAGGACAGAGCCCCGGCTTTGGGGTCAGGAGGCCTGAGCTTGCGACCCGGCTCTCTGCTCTCTCCAGGTGTGAGATGCTCTTTCCGGGCCTCGCCTTCCTCATCTGAGAAATGGGGTCACGTCTCGAGAAGTTAACAGTGCCCAGTGTGCACATGCGTGTAGGCCAGGCGAGGCCACGCCCCCGTCACCTCCTTCATGATGGGATCTTGCGGGTCCTTGCTCTCCACGATGCAGGGCTCCACGAAGTAGCCCACCGAGTCGTCACACTTGCCCCCGGCCAGGATGGTGAGGCTGGGCGAGGAGCGCGCATGCTCCAGCCACTTCTTGATGCGGCCAAAGGACTGGGTGGGTGGAGAGGAAGGCGGGAGGTCACTCCCTGCAGCGGTGGCCCCAACGCGCTCACCCCTAAACACCTGTGCCCGAGGGACCCCTGTCCTGCAGTGGGGGCGGGGGCAAAAGCCAGTGTCCGGCAGAGCCGTGACAGACGTGCACACTCGTGTGTGTGTGTGTGCGTGTGCATGTGGTACAACTGTAGGTGCACATACAGACACACACAGACAGGCAAAGTACACAGCCACAGGACTTCACGTGCGAGCAAGCCGGTACCGGCAGGTCTGTGGTGTGCGTGTGTGTGCTGGGTGCACACGGACGTGGCTGTGTGTGTGTGCACAGACCTGCATGTACGGCCACACCGAGACCCACGTGAACATGCTCTCGGATAGGCACATCGCATGCGCGTGCACACACACACACACACACACACACAGGCACCTGCACGCACACACAGGCCCGCTCCTCTGCGCACGCCTGTGTGTGGTGCGCCTGCCTCTCTGGTTCTGGATGACTCTGCCCATTCCAAAGCTACGGGGGGCACTGTGGCTCCTCACGGGCCTCGCTCCACACAGCGGGGCCGGGGTCTTCCCCCAGTCAGGGCTCCCCATCTCTTCCCGCCCCCACCAAGGCCAGGGCTCAGCGCCCCCCTCCCCAGCACACACACACACACACACACACAGGAAGCGCTCTGCTTCCTGGCCCTTACCTTGGCGTCAATCACAGCAGAGAAGAAGGTCCCAAAATCCTCTGCAGGCTGGAGGCCAGGGCGGGAGGCACCAGGAGAGAGGATGGCCGCAGGCCCGAGACAAAGGGAGCCCCTCCCCGCGCTCCCCACCCCCACCCGGAGAGGCAGGCTCGCTCAATCCCATCAGCCACCCGCTGGGCCGCGGCGGGGGACGCGGGCGCCACTCACGTCGCCCACTTTGATCCTGCTGTGCTCCTCCAGCAGCCGCCCTTTGATCTGCGGCCACAGCGAGCTGGGCACGTAGAGGCGCGAGCAGGCTGAGCACTTCTGGCCGCCGTACTCGAAGGCTGAGCGCAGAGTCCCGCTCACCACGCTGTCCACGTCGGCCGAGCGGTGCACCAAGTGGAAGTTCTTCCCTCCACACTCTACAGGGCCGGGGAGGGGGGAGAGTGACCTGGGGAAGGGGGCTCCCCAGGCCGCCCAGGGCCCCAGCGCCAGGCCCCCAGCAGTGCACAGAGCAGAGCTAGGGCTGAGCACCCTCCCAGAAGCGGCCCGGCGAGGCCTGTTCCCCGGCTCTACACAACAGGAAGCAGGCCAGAGAAGGCTGAAGGGTACAAGGTGGTCAGGTCCAACACCCCCATTACACAGATGGCAAAACTGAGACTGTGCAACACAAAGTCAGAGGAAGGACCAGGATCCAGGGCTCCTAGGGGCTGGGCTGGTCCCAGACACAAGCACAGGTTTGAGTCTCCCCAGGTGCCCCCAGCCAGCAAGGGAGAGGGGAGTCCACACCACATCAGCAAGACCCCAGCCCCACTTTCCTCACTTGTGGGAACCATCAGCCAACGGCAGCGGGAAGCCCCCTCTGAAGCCCACCAGAGCCTCCCACTAGCACGCCTACTTCTTTATTTAAATGTTGTTTAGTTTTCATTTATTTGAAAGAGCCGCAGAGTGAGGAGAGAGAGACAGAGAGAAATCTTCCACCTGCTAGTTCACTCCCAAAATGCCCGTAGCAGTCAGGGCTGGGCACTCCAAAGCCAGGAGCCCAGAACTCCATCAGGGTCTCCCATGAGGGCGGCAGGAATCCAAGCACTTGAGCCATCACCTGCCAACTTCCCAGGTGCATTAGCAGGAAGCTGGATTGGATGCGGAGGCAGGACTCGAACCCAGGCACTCCGCTACGGGATGTGGGTGTCCCGAGCAGCGGCGTAACCTGCCGCACCACAATGCTCACTCCATAGTCCCATTTTAAAGACAAGAAAAGAGAGGCACAGGGAGATGGAGCCACGTGCCCCAGGCTGGGATGCTGCCCAGTGGTCTCTGCCCACCAGGGAGGTGGCAGGTAGGAGGCTGCACGCAAGGGCTCGGCGCTCGCCAGCTCACAGGGGATGCACTGGCTGTGCGGGGCTGGCCCTGAGGAGGGGGCTCCCTCCCTGACTCATCCATCCAAGCTCCCACCAGCTCAGGAGTGGGGTCCAGATGCCCACCGTGGCCTCCTCAGACCCCCTGCCCTGCGCCCGGGGCAGCCCCTCCCCTCTCTAGGGCGGGGCACTTATAAGCCGTGTGAGCCCGAACCCTTGCTCCATGGGGCTCCGGCAGGATCAGACCCTGGACGTTGCCACACCTCTCAGAGCAGAAGCCCTGAGGACCACACTGTGCTCTGTTTAACACGGCACCTGCCACACTTCCCGGACCACGACACCTGCCACACTTCCCAGACCACAACGCCTGCCACATTTCCCGGACCACGGGACGGCTTCTCTGTGGGAAGATTGTGGCTACAAGACCTGGCCCTGCCCCCTCCTCCACCCACCCCCACTCTAGCTAACTGGCCTGGTTTCACATCTTCAAATTCAAGTTCACTCCCACTGACGGCCTCTGCACAGCCAGCCACACGTGGGTGTCCCTATTGGAATTTAACTCGTGATGAAACAAAAGCTCGAGTCTCTAGTTGCCCTTGCCCCGTTTCAAGTGCGTGATGGCCCCATGGGGCTGGCGGCTGCTGTGCTGGACAGAGTGGACACCGACAGAAAGTTCTGGCAGATGGTGCTGGGGTCCAAGACGCTTTGAGCCCCCTCACCCAGGACTGCATGCCTCCCCCTCCTCCTCTTCTGTGACAGCCAGGGGAAGGGGGGGGTCCTTGAGGCCACAGAGGGGGAGGGGTGGGAAAGGGGGCTCTCACCTCCAGCCAGGCGTGGGAAGGTGCGGAACCGGTCCAGGTTCTGGGCCACCTGCTTCCACAGGTGTCTGAAGGTGCTGGAACCAGAGGACAGGGAGGGAATCAGGGAGCTGGGCTCAGGCACCCAGGTGGGTGAATGTCAGGGCCAGGGGAGGGGCGGGGTCCAGAAACCCTGGGGCGGGAGGCTGGGGTCAGCAGCCCAGCAGGGGGTGGGCTGGGGCCGGCAGTGAGGAGCTGGCGGAGGGTGGGGCACCAAGCAGGTGGTAGCTGGTGGGGAGGGGCTGCAGCAGAGGGAGGTGGGGCAGCAACGCAATGCAGAGACGGCCCAGGCTTTGGAGGCGGCGGGTACTAGGTTCCAGTTCTGACTCAAGACCTATAGGGCTCTGTGACCGTGGGCTCATGACTCAACCACTCTGCACCCCGAGTTCTGCGTCTCATCTGGGAACGGGAGCAAGCAATGCCCACCTGGCCGGGCAGGGTCCCGATGACCTCTACCGTGAACCGAGTGTCCAGGGCCACGCTGGGCACGCCACAGGCACCTGCCGGCACACTGACGCCGCCGGGCTCTGCGATGGGCACCCTAGGCCCAACCGAGGAGGGGAACTCAGGCGCCTGCCCCGGGCTGCCGCCCCGGAGGTCCGCGCCTCCTCCCCAGGCTCTGAGTGTGACCAACCTCGGCACCACAAAACAATAAAAATGCTAATCACCCGGGAGCCGGCGCCACAGTAGCTAATACTAATTTATGACTTTCCTACCTTTAAGCCCGCTGCTCATCAGAGCGTGGCAAATGGGGCCAGGCCCGCTCCGCCCGCTAATAGGCAGGGCCCCGTGGGGCCCGCGGCTGGCAGAGCGGGCCTTTCGGAAATGGCCCTGCTCAGCAATTCTAACGCGGCCACTGTCACCAGCAAACCTGGGCGGGAAGGCGGCTGGCGGAGCCTGAGGCCAGTGGAGGGGAGAAGCCACTGCCCGTGTCCCACCCGGAGGGACCGAAGCTGCAGACCTTGGCCCTCTGGCCACCTCAGACATCACCCCGAGATGATCGGGGGGCACCCCACTGGCCAAGGGACCCACGCGTGCCTGCCTTCCACTGACCCCTCCTCTCCTCCTCATCCTGACCTCACAGTCGGGTGGGCACCGGCCACGGGCCCCCCTGCCATGCTGTCACCTCACTCTGCCCAGCCCAGGGTCATCACCTGCCCCAGACCCCAGCGCATCACCCCAGGCACCTGCCCTGGCCACAGGGGCTTCTCCTGCATCAGTGAGGGTGCAGGGTGAGGCCTGCGAGGGGAAGCACACAGTGCAGCCCAGACGCACAGCCCCAGGGCTGGTGGGGACAGTGGGGGACTGGACAGTGCCTGCCCCTAGCCAGCCAAAGGGGGCATGGGGGAAGGTAGCCCCCAGGGTGCCTGGAGCGTCCCTGTTCCCAGGGGAACCAACACTTGAATTTCTATATGAAGTTGCTTCAACTACACAGGTCAGGCCATCACTATTAGGAGTCAAAGAACAGAGCCACCTGCCAGCTGACACCAGGGCCACCATGTGCCGTGGCCACTCGAAGCAGGCCTCAATGATTGAGCCACTCCCTGTTCAAACTTTCTGTGGTCGGGGTCGGCGCTGTGGCACAGCAGGTTAAACCCCCAGCCTGCAGCGCCAGCATCTCATATGGGCGCCTGTTCAAGTCCCAGCTGCTCCACTTCCAATCCAGCTCTCTGCTAATGCACCTGGGAAAGCATAGAAGATGGCCCAAGTGCTTGGGCCCCTGCACCCATGCGGAAGACCCAGAAGAAGCTCCTGGCTCCTGGCTTCGGATCGGCGCAGCTCCTGCCATTGAGGCCATCTGGGGAGTGAACCAGTGGAGGAAGGCCTCCCGGCCTCCCTCCCTCTCTCTCTCTCTCTCTCTCCCTCCCTCCCTCTCTCTCTCTCTCCCCACCTCTTTTTCTCTGTCTCTCTCCACCTCTCTCTCTCTCTCTTTCTCTCTCTCTGTAACTCTTTCAAGTAAATAAAATGAATCTTAAAAAGAAAAAAAAATCTTTCGGAGGCTCCCATCACCTTCAGGTTCAAGTCTGGACACCTGTGCAGACTCTTAAGGGGCTCTCGTCCCCCGAAGCCGGGACTTTGACCGTGGCGCTCCCTCACCACAGAGCACGCAGGGGCACAGCCGAGCACAGCAGGGCCTCGGCAAACCCTGGACGGGCAGTGAGTGAGTGAGTAAACAGATGACTGCCAGGATCCGGCAGCTGCCGCCTGCCCTGCCTCGTATCCCACCAAGCCCTGCCCCACCCTCGGGCCCTGTAGCCCCTCACGCCACACTCAGCCACGTGGGACCTGGCCACGCCACAGAGCACATGTGTTTCTGCCTTGGGGTCTCTGCCGGGGCCCGTGGTTCCTCCACCCTCTCCCCCTCTGCCTCGCCTGCTCTCCCGCTTGGGTACCACCTCCTCCAAGAAGAAACCCTGACTCCTGCCCCCTCATGCCTTTTCCAGGTGGCACTGGATTCAAGATGGCCCAGCACCTGCAGGCCCCCCCACTCGGCCCCCACTCAGCTCCTTCCTGTCTGTCCACTCTCTCGTTCCTCTATGGGGGACACCATGCCCATTGTTCAGATGAAAGAATGGAGGCTCAGAGAGGTGCATGGCTCACCCATGGCCACACAGCATCAGGGTTCCCAGCCCCAGCCCGAAAGCAGCTGGCCGAGGGGTGGCCTGGGGCACTTGCCGGGGACTTACGGCACGCTGCCTGTGAAGTTAATGCCGCAGAGGTGCTCTGAGCTGGTGACAGTGTCCCCAAACACTGGCCCGTCAGCTGGCACAAACTGGATGATGTTGGGGGGCAGGCCGGCCTCGCGGAGGACACAGTAGACAGCGTAGCTGGCCAGCATGGCGGTGTCACTGGGCTTCCACAAGACCACGTTGCCCTGCCCGGAAGGGAGATGACGACTCATGAGGTCAGGAGCCTCCTGCTCCGATCTCCACCCCGCTCCGCAGCCTGGTGGTCCCTCACCTGCAACCAGCAGGCCCTGTGCTGCCCTGGATGTCCCCTACCCAACCCCACCCCTCCGAGTGGCCGGCACTGAACCCCAAAGCCCGGTCTGGCTGCCCACCCCACTCTCTAGCCAAGGACCCCGTTCTCTGGAAGCCACCCCCCCGCTGAGTCACCGTTTCTGGGCACAGCTGGGCACGTGCCCGCGGGTTCTCTGCACCTGTGCTGGGTCAGGGGCACGGGCACTTTGGAGGACACCCCCGTGCAGGCACGTGGTACATAGCTGGGCATCCGTGTCCACCTGCCCCGTCTGAGGCTCGGGCCTCCCAGTCAATGACTGTGTCAGCTGTCCTCCTACCCAGCCTGTCTGAGGGCAGGCCTACGTCTCCCCCATCAGACTGGCAGCTCATTCAGGGACAGCCACCTTCACTCTGACAATGGCAGAGACTCCAAACCCCCGTGTCTGCTCCACCATTTACTAAGCCATTCAACCTTGACAAATGTCCCCCCAGTGACAGCTCGGTCACCTGGCCAGGGGGTGTCATCACAGCCTCCGGCTGGGGAGCACAGGTGGGATCACCGGCAAGCAGGTCTTAGCAGGAGCAGGCAGACAGTGAGCACTCACGGGGAGCGACCGCCTTCAGCCCAGACAGAGCCGCCTCCTCGGCCCGCTGCAGTGGATCCCGCAGGAGCACAGCTTTGCTCGGGGCCTCGCCCAGGGTCTCCCAGACACAGACGGACAAAGCTGGGACCCAGACCAGGGGTAACCTAACCGCGGCCCTGCGCTGCCTCCAGTTTTCACGCTGCTCCCCACAACCAAGAGCTGGGGCTCCAGGGGCTCAGGACGGCCTTTGTTGGTTGGGACGAGGACCACGGCCAGCCCCCGCTGGGCCCCCCGCACCCACATCTCACCATCAAAGCAGGCGCCCCCGCCAGGTTGCCGCCGATCGCGGTGAAGTTGAAGGGCGAGATGGCCGCCACGAAGCCCTGGGGAAGGAAGCCACGGTGAGTCCCGGCTCCTGCGGTCTGGCAAACCCCGCCCACCTGGCGCCCCGGGGTACCTCCAGCCCCCGGTACACCACGCTGTTGGTGCTGGGCGGCAGGCTGATGGGCTGCTGTCCTGCCAGCTCCATGGCAAACTTGGCATTGAAGCGGAAGAAGTCGATGAGCTCAGCCGCAGCGTCGATCTCCGCCTGGATCACCGTCTTACCCTGCGGGGGCGGGGGGCGGGATCAGCAGCGAGCAGGCTCGGTGTCCCCGGTGAGCCCCCTTCCCACATCTGAACCCACAGCCACAGCAAGTGCCTGGCAGGGACTAGAACCTCCAGGGAGCTGACCAGGTCCCCTCTCGGGGGCTAAGGAGGGAGAGGACCTCGCTTCTCAAGCCGCTGAGCCCTGCCTCGCTCAGCCAGGCCCCCACCCCCCGGGCTGCGGCAGGATCCACAGCGTTTACTGCTGCCGCGTGGGGGCAGGCGTCTCACACTTGCTGCCTTGGTTTCATGGCGACTCTGAACGGGGGGGACACAGCCACAGGAATGAGATCCTCAAGCCAAACTCGGGGTCAGAACCTTCCAGACACCAAGACACACGGGCATGAACGGGGAAGCCGGCCGCTGGGAGAGCAGGGCAGAGACGCGGTGGGCAGGATGCGGACGGCTCCCTCCTCCGGGATGCGTATGGCGCAGCCTTGCCGGTTTGGGCTGAGAACCTGGAGGCCGGTGGCTGATTTCCCTTCTCCCCGACGACCGTGGGGAGCCACACGCAAGGACTCTGGACACTAGGTACGGGCTTCTCCAGATGACAGTGCCACCCAGGTGCATAGCAGGTGCACATCCCGCGGGTCAGGGAAGCTGAGCTGAGGTGTAGCTGCTGCTTGGAAGCTTCTGAATCTTAAGCCAAATAATGAGAACCAGAGATGATCTTACAGGGTGCATGAGTGTGTATGTCCACGGGTCTGTCTTCCCGCTGACGTGTGAGGCTGCTGAGCCCATCAGAGGCCTTGAACAGGTGGGAGCTGTCATTCCAGCTCTGTGCAGCAGAGGGAGCTCTCACCACAAGGATGAGGGAGCAGACGCTGGTCTACCAGGGCTCAGCCTCTTGTCATTTGCCCTTGGGAGCCCAGCTTAGCCAACATCCTACGGCTCAGTGCCTGGAGGTGGTGAAACTGGCCCTTCCTCCCTGGCCTCCTTTCCCTTGCACACTCTGGACTGCTGGTACAAGACACGACTACTGCACCCAAAAAGCGTGCAAAGGGAGAGCAACGCACAGGAACTCAGTGCCCCCAGGGCGCTCTGAGCTGTGGCCGAGACCACACATTCTGGGAAAACAGGGGCCAGACGAGCTCTCTGCGTGGCTAAGGTTCAGGGAACCTCACGGAGGAGGGAAGAGCCGCGTTAGAGCAGGTGGTGAGGCGTTCACCGGGCAGAGAGAGGCAAGCAGCATCCCAGGCAGCCGGCCCAGGGCAGAGAGGCCAAGGGAACACCTGCGGCTCCCAGGGCATCCCCAGGGGCTGGATGGCCTTGGTGGCTGGGGCGCTGGACACAGAGTGGACAGAAGGGCCCTGGAGGCAGGGGTCAGGACGAGGACCAGCCTCTCGGTGATGCCGAGATCATGGTGGCTCATGAGCCACTGGAGGTGGCAGCAAGGGCACTCAGAAGGGGTCTGACCAAGCCAGGAAGCAAGATGGCGGCATCAGACCATGGCCAGTCCAAGCAAAGCCTAAGGCCCAGGGACAAGGGACATGGAGGGGAGGGAACGCATCCACGGCAGGACAAGGGCTGAGCGGCATCTGCTTTGTCTGATGATTTAAGAATGTCTGTCCCCTTGAGGACATCTCTGGTCTCCAACAGGACCGCTGGCGCCCGGGCAGCCTGGCTCTGCTGAAGCGGGTAGGGTCTCCCTGCCCCTCCGCCGCCGCCGCCGCCATGGCCGGGCCCTCAGGCTGCTCACCTGCCCCACCATGGTCTTGGCCAGGATGTCTGCCCTGCGCGGCCCGCTCAGCATATCCGCTGCCTTCAGGAAGATCTGGGCGCGGTCTGCCACAGGCTTCAGGTCCCACTCCTTCCTAGCAGCCAAGGAGGCCTCAATGGCCTTGTTGAGCAGGGCCTGACGGGAGAGCAAAGACTCAGGGCTGCTTCCTGCAGCAAGGAGAGCCCAGAGGGCTCCTCCCCCCCGCCCCAGGGGGCACCCCTGCTCCCACGGCTCTCAGCACCCCTGCCCCTCAGCTGTTCCAATCAGGTTCGCGGGGGCCTGCCAGGTGGGTCAGCAGGCCGGGGACTCAGCTGGCCCCAGCCCTTGGCTGTTAACCCTGCTCCCCTCTCCTTTCATGGTCTAATCAAGGCCTCACGTTGGGGCTGGCTTTGGGGCACAGTGGCTTAAGCCACAGCCTGAGACGCTGGTACCCATAGGAGCACCGGGTCAAGTCCTGGCTGCTCCACAACTGATCCAGCTTCCTGTTGAGGTGGCTGGCAAGTCAGGGGAGGAGGGCTGGGCCCCTCCTGCACCCATGTGGGAGGCCCGGATGGAGCTCCAGGCTGCTGGCTTGAGCCTGGCCCAGCCTGGGTCACGGCAGCCAATTGGCGAATGAACCAGCAGATGGAAGATTCTCTCTCTCTCTCTCTCTCTCTGTCCCTCTGTCTCTCCATCTCACTTCATAACTCTGCCTTTCAAATAAATAGAAGGCAGAGTTGAAAGGCAGAGTTACAGAGAGGCAGAGGCAGAGAGGGAGAGAGGGCTTCTACCCACTGGCTCACTCCCCAAATGGCCGCAACGGCTGGAGCTGTGCCAATCAGAAGCCAGGAGCCAGGAGCTTCTCCCACATGGATGCAGGGGCCCAAGGACTTGAGCCATCTTCTACTGCTTTCCCAGGTCATAGCAGAGAGCTGGATTAGAAGTAGAGCAGCCGGGACTCGAACCAGAGTACATATGGGATGCAGGTACTGTCAGTGACAACTTTACCCGCTAGGCTACAGCACAGGCCCCAATAAATAAAATCTTAAAAAAAAAAAAAAAGCCTCATGTTAATTCTTGGGACCTGGTGCCCCGAGCCCACCCTGAGGTCAGCAGGCAGCCTGAGACGCACACGTGCTGCCACATCCCAGACGCCAAGGGCCCCTGCCGTAGGTCGCCCCATCCCTGCCCACTAACCCCAATGCCTGCCAACGCCTCGCCTGGCCTTCCAGCCACGATGGCTCCAACTGTTCTGACTCAGCCTTCTAGAATCTTCTGTCTCCACACCAGGTCGGCCCCAGCACCATGGGCATGTCCAGGAACGTACCAGCCCCTGGCCAAGGCAACTCGCACTTGGCTCAAAATAACGACGGCGGCACGCCTGGTCCTGGCAGGACACTGCCTGGGCACGCCCTCCCCCCTCCTCCGCTCCCCCTACCCACTATGGCCGGAGGGAGAAGCAAGGCCCGGGGTCCCCATCAGCAGCTAGCAGGGCAGGGCAGGGCAAGGCAGGGACGCACTCACCTTGTCTGCGTAACAGAACTTGGCCACCTTGTGCCTGTGGTTAAAGGGCTGAAAGGAGAGAAGGGCGGGATCACTGCCCAGAAGGGAGGTGCGGGCACACAGGGAACAGGACTTGTCTTCCAGGAACACGGGACGTGCTCGCCCCCTACCCCAGCCCACACCCATTCCGCACTCTTGTGGGTGGGGTAGGGGCACCCACTGCACAATGCACGCCGTTCCTGCCCTGGAAGGGTCAGGGTCCAGGAAAAACACGTGTACTTTGTGGTCAGGCAGGCAGGGGTTCGAATCCCAGCTCACTTCCCTTCTCCAGGTCCCATCAGGAAAATGGGGTGTGTGCTCCCCACCTTACAGCACGCAAAGGAGGCCCAGACGGGGTGACGGACTGTGCCATCGCCGGCAACACTTCTATCATCTGCTAATCCACCAACAGGTTGTCTGGGAGCCACGAGCCTGTGCCTAATATCCACACGTGGCTGGTGGCTGCTTGGTGGACAGCGTGGCCACAGTGTCTCATCACCATTGCACAAAGTTTGACCGCAAGGCCAGCGTCGTGGCACAAGCAGGGTAAGCGACCGCTACATGATGCTGGCATCCCACCCTGGAGCAGCCGCTCCACCTCGAACCCAGCTCCCTGCTCATGAGTCTGGGACACAGCACAAGAGGGAAGGGCTTGGAAGGGCCTGGAAGAGCCAGGTGGGAGTTCTGGGATCTGCCTTGCCCCAACCATTACACTCATTTAGGGAGTGAACCAGCAGGTGGAAGACCTCTCCCTCCCTCCCTCCCTCCTTTCCTCCCTCTCTCTCTCTCCCACTCTCCCACTCTGCCTTTCAAGTAGATTAAAAGTAAATTTTTTAAAAAGAAAGAGAAAGTTCTACTGGACAGCACAGGGCTTGGCTGGAGTAGCAAGCGGCCTGTTCCCATCATGCTAACCCCTGGCACAGGCACCTGTGTCCTGCCCGTACCTGAGCCTGGTTTTTAACACTCAGAGGCCAAGAAGGTGTGGAGGACTTGGGGCCTTCAAGCAGGCCACGCCCACGTCACACACAGATCCACCCTCGCACCCACCGCCGCCCACGTGGCTGGTGTGGCAAAGAGGAAAACGGGAAGCAGACAGCTCACCAAGGGCTGGTGACCAAACCCCAAACCCCGAGTCTCACTGTCAAGAAGCCCAGCGGCCTCGGACTCCCGGGAGCTGCCTGGGCCAGGCCATCGCAGAGCCCAGACAGCAGGCTGTGGGCGCTGCTCTCGGCTGGCCCCTGGGCACATGCCTGGTGCAGGCTGAGGACCCTGCAGGCCCCGGCCACGTTCTGTGAGCTCGAGGGAGCAGCTTCTGCCCCAGGCTGCTGCTGGAACCCTTGGGGCACAGGACCGGGCTCCTCTCTCAGGCACGGACCCCACCCCCCACCCTACAAGCACCTGCCGAGGGTTCCACCGGGACAGAGCCAGAATGTGGTGACCTGGCGTGCAGAGGGGCCAACCTTTACTCTCCCCCGAATGACTGTCCCCCGAGCTCCCTGGAGCATCTGCATAAGGCTTGTGCCACCTCCTGGATGGATAAACTCTGAGCAGGTGGGCCCTTGGCTGCCGGCCACCTTGCAGGGGGTACCCATCAGGACTAATGGAGGAGGCTGGCTGGGGCCTCCACATGGCCCCTCCCACCTGTGGACAGGACCCAGTTAGCAGCTGGCACGGAGAGGCCCAGCACTTTGCTTGGGGAAGTTTACCCCTGGCCTTCACAACCTAGGAGTGCCTAGAGGGAGACCACCTGGGACATGCCTGCAAGCTGTCAGTGAGAGAGACCGAGAGCGAGAGCCCCCAGATGCAGGAAGGGCCGGGCCTGCCCCGCGCCGGACTCACCGACAGCTGGTACCGAATGTCCGACGTCCACACTTCCTCATGCCCCACCACACACGGGATGGCTTCCGTCTGGTTCTTGAGGGCTGTCAAGGCCTGGGGAGAGGGGCAGGTGCATAGCTGGGCCCTTCCTGCCTCCTTCTTCCCCCGGAGACCCTGACATGGGTCTGCAGGGGGGACCAGGCCAGGTCTGGGGACATCAGAAGGCATGTGCTGTCCCCTGGGGACAGAAGGCAAGTGCTTCCCCAGCGGTTATCACCCCAGGGGAAGCGGAGGCCGATGTGGCCAGGTCTTCCCATCGCAAAAAGATCAACAATTGCATCTGAAATTGATGTGAAATCTCACAGTTTTCTGTATACTGGCAACAAATCGGAGACTGTTAAGTGTAAAGATTCTGGGGTTATGACCTCTGACCTGGCCTAAGAGGCCGCAAGCGACCCCCGCTGCCACCCCACTGGTCCTGCGACTCCCCCACTCCAGATCCCCCCAGCCCAGCCCTCCCCCAGCCACCTCCAGAGGCAGGGGAAGTGGGGACCGTCTCCACTCGCGCCCTGCACCCCCTTACCTTCTGCAGCGCCTCGCGCTCGGGGCTGCCCCTGGTGAATGCCAGGATGGGCTCATTGGCCACGTGCAGCGAGGACGCGTGCTTCCACCACAGCCTGGACACGGGGGCGGGGACAGAGGCACAGTCAGGCCCGTGGCAGCCCCTCTGCTTCCCACCTGGGGCCCTGGGTTTGCGCCGGGGATTAGAGGAGGAAAGCCGCCTTGTGGTCCCTGGGCCTGCTCAGTGAGACCAACCCCGCCAGCCTCACGAGGCCGTGCGAAGTCTGCACGCACGGATGCAAAGCCACGGAGCCGTATCCTGCACAGGGAGAGGCTGACTTCCGCACGGGGCGGCCTTTACCCCAAACTGACCCCCGGGGAACCCTTCTCTAAGCTGAAAAGGCCACACGCAGCAGAGGAGAGCCTGCTCCGAACGTGAACCAGCCTGGGACTCCCCGGACACAGAGGGCTGAGTCGCAACATCCAAGATGCAGACCATGAACTTGGAGCTCAGTCCACAGCAACAGGGAGGGCTGGGGGGGGGGGCTCTGTGTCGGACTCCAGAGTGTTGGGCCTCAAGAACACCTCGCTGGAATCCCACGACCTTGCCGGCAAGGGACCCCCACCCCTACCAGGCAGGGGGACAGCAGGGCCAGAGCTGAGACCCCCCGGGTCAGTCCCCAGCACTGGGATGTCCCCTTCCAGGCCTCAGTTTCCTACTCTGTAAATGAGGATGACAGTAACGACATAGCACATGGATACTGACAACGCCCCCGGCACCAGGCGGGCATTGGGCGGGCGGCACCAGCAGCCTCTGTCTAGGGAAATGAGGGTGTTTCCTAAGAGGAAACCGACTAGTTCAAGACCAAGATTAGGAGGCACCGGATCTGAGTCTGGAAGAAGCCCCGTGGCCTCCCTCTGGTTTAGATGCGGCCCCAGGGAGACCCGGAGAAGCCTGGGACGGATTCAGGCACTGGCTGGGAGATCCAGAGGAGGGGTTTGCTCAGCATCAGATGCACTCAGATGGGGGTCAATCCTACGGCTGCCTGGAAAAGCAGTGGTCCTTCATCGCGCAAGAGGGGGTGCCCGCACTTCGCAAGATGCACAGAGACCTCGCTTTCTGTCTACACTGAGACAAAACTACGAAGCGGCCCCATCGCGGGCCACAGGTGACACCGCCAGGGGTGTCTGTGTCCAGCCAGAGAACCAAGTGGCCTGGCTGTGACAGTCAAAGAACCCAGGACAGTGCAGACGCGTCCCGGGCGCACTGCACAGGCTTACGACAGGTCTCCTACAGGGGGCGCCATTCTAGACCCTGGAGGCACCTCGGTGCCAGGCCTCGGGCTGCTCCCAGCCAAGCGCAGCTGGTGACGCACTCGGGAGATGGACACAACTGCAGGGGGCCGACACTGGCACAGCATTTGGTACGCCACTTGGCGCACCTGCGGCCCATGGCGGAGTGCCTGGGTTCAAGTTCCTGGCTCCGCTTCCATTTCCAGCTTCCTATTAACGTGGACCCTGGGAGGCAGCAGTGATGGCTCAAGTACTTGGGTCCCTGCCACCCACTTGGGAGACCTGATGGAGTTCCGGGCTTCTGGCTTCAGCCTGGCCCGGCCCGGGCTGTTGCAGGCAACCGAGGAGGGAACCAGAGGATGGGAGATCTCACTTGCCATCTCTCTTTGTTTATCTGTCTCCTTGCCTTTCACATAAATAAAACCTTTTGAAGATGATAATCCCATAGGGTGAACAGGAAACAGGAAATCAGGAGGCAGTGGGGCTACTTCACCAGGGTGGTCAAGGGGGGCCTCCCGGGGAAGGTAACCTGGGACCAAGACCTGGAGGTCGTTTGAGCAGAGCTGGCGAGAGCATTGTAGGCAGGGGAAGAGCAGGTGCCAAGACCCAGGGCAGGGAGCAAGGAGAGGAACAGCAGAAGGGGCCTGTGGGGAGCAGCGGAGGAGAGAGAGGCCAGGGCACCCAAGGGCCCCAAGAGCAAAGGGCGCACTGGGGCCTTCTCCTTCCACCCCCAGCCCCCACCCCACCCCCACACACTTAAAGGAGCCAGGGCACATTCCTCGGCCCCACCCTTCCCTTAACAAAAGAAAGGAAAGGAGGACCAACGCCAAGTGACCCTGGGCAAGTCACCTGTTCCCGGTTGTTAGGGAGACAATGCTGCAAAGCTCTGCGTGTGCTCAGGGAGTTACAGTCCGTGCGGCACCTTCCGCCCATTGTCCTGGAGGACGGAGAGGCAGCCGCAGGTCTCCCAGCCTCCCAGCTGGGGCCATCTGGAAGGTTCTGCCAGGACTTGAGCTTGGCTGCTGATGGCAGCGCATTCCTGCAGCTCACACGCAGGCAAAGAGCCAGGCAGGACTCCGGGAAACTGAGTCCGCCCAGCCCCCTCCTGGAGCCCAGATCCTGGCAGAGGGGGAACACAGAGGCCTGGAAGCAAATCTGAGATCAAAGCCACACCTGCTGGTCTCGGCCAGCCTCTGCAGAACGGGTGGCGCTGTGTCCCCGCTGTGTCCCCCGCGGGGCACCAGCAGCACACACACGGCTCCGGTCCCTCCGCTGGGAAGCCTCCAAAGGCGAACAGGCGCCCAGGTGCTCAGTCCCAGTTCCACCTGCAGTTTAAAAATGCAGAGGCCACCAGCTCCCCGCCCCTGCATCCCCCCAGGGAGTGTCAGAGAGGGAATTTCTCCACCTGAGGCCACCGTGGCCCCGGGGCTCACAAGCCCTTGTGGCTTTCTCTGTGCTTGGGAAGGCCTCCAGGCCCTGGCCCGGCACTGCATGGACCCTCACACTGTCCCCGGCCCAGCCAGGCCATGTGCGGCTTTGGGGCACGGAGACCTGTTAGCACTCAGCCTGAGTCAGCTGCGGCTGGTGGGCCACCCAGGACGAGAGCCGCGCCCTGGAGAGGGGTCGCTCCCAGCACTGCAGTCCTCCAGGGGGAGCGCCTTCCTCATTCATTCACCCAGGGCAGGCAGCACAGTTACTCTGCTTCGTGCTGATACTGGGGTTCCCTCCCCAAATAGCCCCAGTGGCCAGGGCTGGGCTGATCTGAAGCCAGGAGCCAGGAGCTTCTTCCAGGTCTCCCACGTGGGTGCAGGGACCCAAGGACTGGGGCCATCTTCTTTGCTTTCCCAGAGATTAGCAGGGAGCTGGATCAGAAGTGGATCAGCTGGGACTTGAACTGGAGCCCCTATGGTGCCGGTGCCCGCAAACACGGCTTTACCCGCTACGCCACAGCGCCGGCCCCCAGCCTGGCTTTTTCTTACCCCCTCTCTGCATGGACCCTCGCACCGCCCTTTGCCCCAAGCATTGGCAATAACCCTCACTGCAGTGCCTCTGCCGGCCACAAGCTCCGCGCAACAGCCTTTGTCCACGGCCCACGTCCACTCCCCTCCCTGCTGGACACCCGGAGTCTCACCCCTTCCTTCCTGACCGACCTATCAAGCCCACAGCAAGCATCCTCTGGAAACAAGCAAGGGGCACACGATGGTTGGAGCCAACCCCAGGCCCGAGGACAGGACTCAGGCCACTGCTCCTCTGCCAACACCTGGAGCCGGGCACAGGCCCCTGGGGTCCCCCAACAGCAGGGTCAGGGACGGCCAACCCCAAGACAGGAGAAATGAGAGGGAAACCTTGCTCTCACCTCTTGCTTTCCCCGCCTTATCTGGGGCCTGATAAGACCAATCCCCCTTATCAGCGAGATAAGGAGGCCAGAGAGAAGGTGTGCAGGGCCCAGGAGGGGCCGGCAGGAGACAGTAAGGAGCGCTTATTAAGCACTTACTGTGTGTGTGCCAAGGACTAACTGAGATAGCTGGATTATCTCAGATCACGGCTCATGGGACAGCCCATTAAGTGATAGAGCAGGACCTGACCCCAGGCCCTGCTCACTGTGCAGACGCGCTGTGGCCTGAGACCCGGGGCAGCAGGGACCGGTGAGACAGGTCAGTCCTCCTCGCATACAGCCAGAGCCTCCTCTTTCCCGCCCCAGAAAGGCGGCGGCTTGCCCAAGGTCACTCGGCTGTCCGCAGGCCCAGGGCTCTGTCCACTCCAGGATGCAGCTTCTGCAGGAAGGGGAGTCTGGGGGGTAGGGAGCCCCGAGAGCAGCAGGTATCTCCCCTCCCCGGGGGCAAGCACGGTCAACCCCAACAGAAGGAGTTTTGGATCTGGGGTAGCTGATAGGAACAGGGGAAGGGACCAGGACACCTGGGCTCCACTCCCGGTGCCAGTCCTTAGCATTCCTATCAGAAGCGGCCCCAGGGGACCGCGCAGGGTGGGAGAGGAGACACAGCGTCGCCCACTGAGCTCTCCGGCTCCCCTACAGGAGATCATTTAATCCCCAAGATAACGCCACGAGGTGCTCACCAGGGGCATCTTTGTTCCACGGGACAACCGCAGGCAGCAGACACGTTGGTCCACAGAGCTGCTAGAAGGTCCGGCCAGGACCCAGGCCATGCTCTGTCCAGTGGTAACAAAGCCAGGGGCCGGGCACAGGAAGCTCGGCGCTGGGGCCGACGCCTGCTGGTCACGGGCCTGAGCAAGTCCAGCACGCCATCGCGTAGGTCCCATCGATGGCTCAAATATTTACAGGGCACACACGAGGGACCAGGCACTCCGCAAGCCCCTGGTCCCCGCAGCCCCTACCCTGGCAATCACGGCACCGTGGCTAACGGCATCCTCCCCGTGGGCAGAAGGGACTGGGTAAGGTGAGGCGGCCCAGGCTACAGGCCCTGCCCTCTTGACCCCTTCTTTGAGGAGAGAACGGAATACGGATGGGAAGGGAAGAAAATGGCCAGGCAAAGGATGGGCAGGCAGGAGAAGCTTCAGGTGGTTTTGAGATTCCAAAAAGTAAGTAGCCAGGTGGGCTGAGAGGGGTCCCCTGTCACCCAGGATAACCTCCAGGCAGAGGGCAGTGCCGGTCCAGCCCGTGCGTCCCTTCTCTGGGTTTGGCACTAGGGCAGAAAGGGAAAATTAGCATCGACTTGGGGTCTGCTAAGTGCCCGGTTAGTGCTCCTATGCCCTGCCCACTTTGAAAGAGAATGTGCAGATGTATAACAAGGGACACGGACGAGAGTGGAGAGAGGAGAGAGCAGGCAGCCAGCGGGAGGCCCCGTCTGCTAGTGGAGGCCTCGGACAAGTCGTCCTATGTCCCCAGGCCTCAGCTGTCCCATCTGTGAAATGAGGACAGGGAGCTGACTAAAACCACGCACATCACAGGTCACCGTGTCACCTGCTGCCATCCCTGGGCCATCGCTAAAGGCCACGTGGTGATGGTGACTGTGTGGGGACTGGTTGCAACAAATTCCTATGAACAAGGAAGGGCTGGCATGGTGAATTCATTCATTCACCTAACATTTGCCAGGGGCTTAGCACGTACCAGACACAGCTCTGGGCCCCCGGCACATTCAGTGAGGGATGACAAGTCTACAAAGGGGGCACAAAAAGGTTCCATTAAAACTCCAGGCTGGGGCCGGTGCTGTGGCATAGCGGGTAAAGCCGCCACCTGCAGTGCCTGCATCCCAAATGGGTGCCAGTTTGAGTCCCAGCTGCTCCACTTCTGATCCAGCTCTCTGCTATGGCCTGGGAAAGCAGTGGAAGATGGTCCAGGTCCTTGGGCCCCTGCACCCATGTGGGAGACCTGGAAGAAGCTCCTGGCTCCTGGCTTTGGATCTGCCCAGTTCCAGCCAGTGTGGCCATTTGGGGAGTGAACTAGCAGATGGAAGACCTCTCTCTCTCTCTCTCTCTTTCTCCAAACTCTTTCAAATAAATTAATTAAAAAAAAAAAAGCCCAGGCTGAGTGCCCTTATCTGAAATGCTTGGGCCCACACATGCTTTGGGGCCAGGGCATTGTGGCGTGGCAGTGAGGCGCAGATGGTCACATCCGGACTGGATGGCCCGAGTCAGAATCCCGCCTCCACTCTGATCCCAGCTGCCTGCCGATGCACACCCAGGGAGCCCCATCAGTTCGGTCCCTCCCACCCACAGGGAGACCTCGAGGGCATTGCTGGCTCTTGACTGAGGCTGGCTAAGATGTTCGTGGAAAGGTCAAAGGCTACGAATGGATCACAAAGACGACCACGCTTGCCTCCATGTGTTGAGACAACAGGTGATTTTTTTTTTTATGCTTCTATGCTCTCTCTGTACTTTCTAGAAGTAAACATTGACCAAGGCTGAGATTCCTGGCACTCAGCAGCAAAGATCAACACCAAAGCCTGTCGCCCGCCCTCCCTGGCTGCTGCTTCCCCATCAAGAAAGCCGCGCACGCGCACACCGCAGCTGTGCCCCGAATACTTGTTGAGCAAACGAACCAGTGTTATCTGGGAGCTAGGGACCTCGACCGTGGCGGGGAGTGGGGGGGGTCCTGCCCCCCAGGTGGCCTCTGACAGCGCATGCCTGGGGGTGTCACTGCTGTCCAGCCTCAGATACCGGGGACGCAGCTCAACACTCTACGGGGACAGGCATTCATGCTGCTTGGGACGTCCGCATCCCATACTGGAGGGCCTGGGCTTGAATCCCAGCTCTGCTTCCAACTCCAGTCTCCTGCTCATGCACACCATGGAAGGCAGCAGGCCATGGCTTGGATACTTGGGTCCCTGCCACGCACATGGAAGACCTGGAGAGAGTTCCTGGCTCCTGGCTTCAGCCGGGCCCAGTCCCACCTGTCAGGGGAATCTGGGAAGTGAACGAGTAGACTGGGGAGATCTGTCTCTCTCTCAAAAAAATTAAAATAAAAATAAAAATTCTACAATGCACAGGTGAGCCCCACAACAGGACTATCTGGCCCCAAGTGTGGAGGTTGAGAACCCGTGTCCAGGGCACCAGGCCAGCGGCTCCACTGGAAGGGGGAATCTGAGCTGTGGGATTGGTTGCAAAATACTCTCCGCCCTCCCGGCTCGGGCGGCCTCCTAATGAGGAGCTTGGGTCTGGAGTCAGGGCAAATGGGGCATTAGTCCCACGTGGACCCCACCTGGCAGATGGGGCCCTGCAGGGGAGCTTCAGAAAGTTCCCGGGGGTGTGCATTGCGCAAAGCTCTGCAGGGGCTGCAAACATTTCTCGCACCACGATGGAGTCGCCTTTTATTCCGTTTTCCAGGAGCCCCGAGGTGCAGGAACAGCCGCTAGTGCACAGTACTGGGCCCACGGAATTGACCACTTGATACATGTTATTGTTAGGGATTTTTCTTTTAGAATATGGACTGCTTTTCAGCAGGTTTTGGCATGTTTTCATGTCTAAGCCTGCCTCCCCAACTCGGCTGAAGGCTCCTGGCAGGCCCGGGTACCTCTGGCCCCCAGTGTGTTCAGAAGAGCACATAGCAGGTCCTGGGTAAACATGAGAATCTAGAACACCCCGCCTCCCTGGGCTTCCACCTGGGGCCCGAGAGGGGTGAGCTCGGTGCAGGAGACAGGCAAGCGCGCCCCCTCCCCGCAGAGGGCACACAGCCGAACTGAAACTCAGCCCTGTCACTGCGGGGGCAGGCAGAGGGACACTGATTAACTCAGAGCGGGCACAGAGGCAGCCGGGAGACGGCAGGCTGGTCTTGGCCCTAGGGGTCAGGCAAACAACTCAAATGCGAAACAGGCGGGAGGCACCCAACTCTGGGAGGGAGGCAGACAGGGCCAGGAGCCCACCAGGTGAGCTTTCGCCACAGAAGGGACAGCAGTCCAAGAACCCAACAGCATCGGGCTTTGCAAATCTGAGTTTAAAGTAGAGCTGCACCCAGCTGCTCCCGGTGTCCCCGTTACTGCGGTGGAATTAAAAGGCCAGGTTATTTTGGGTACAAAAAAAAATGTTTAAATCCAAGCATATGCAGACTCTTCCAAAACTCCATGGGAAGCATGTATTTTGATAAAAACCGTGTGGATGTTCAAAAAAAAAAAAAAGTTTGTACACACTTAATTCCCCTTTTCGGCGAACTTTTTCAAGTCCCCTTGTACGAACTCGTTCAGCGCTGAGACACCCACCACGTGCCTGGGGCAGTGTGGTGCCTCACGAGCGCTCCCTGAGCGCCACCAGCCACCTACCGGGGCCCTCTTTCGGCAGGGAGAACACGGGGGAGAGGACCAGAGAGAAGCGAGACCCCCGGGGTCGGGGTGGGGGGTGTGGGGGAAAGGAGGAGGAAGAGGAGGAGGAGGAGGAGGAAGGCTCAGGAATCCCAGGGAAGGTCCAGGGCGTGAGAAGACCATGCGGAGGCGCAAAGCGTGATGTGCTAAAAATAGAAGCGCCCTGCCTGCCGCAGGCCAGCGAGGCCGGAGGAAGAGGCGTGAGCACCGAGGGCAGTCCCCAGTGTGGCTAGCAGGGGGCCCCCGAGGCACAACTCCCGCGGCACGACCCCCGCCACAGATTCGGGAAGACGACCGCCTGAGGCCGAGGGGGAAGGGGGCTAAGCGATCTCAGAAGGCCAGGGCCAGGGGTCACGAGAGGCAGCTCCGACCCCAGGCGGAGAGACGCCCCTGGGCAGGGAACCCAGTGGGCGCTGGGGGTGCCCAGCGACTGTTGGGGCCGCGGGTCAGCAGGTGCGCTCTCGGGCCGCCCAGCCGCGGGCTCACTCACCCGGCCCCCCTCCAGGGGCGGGCCAGCAGGGCGCGGCGGAGCGCGGGCGGCGGCGGCAGCAGCATCTCCAGCTCCCGGCACGGCTTTCCCCGGAGCGTCCGCCTGGGAGCTGCCAGACCACGCGGCCCCGCCCGGAACGCACCACCCCGGCGAGAAGGGGGGACAGGATCCCCGAGATCGCGGCCCCTCTCCATGTAGTCGCCTCATGTTAGTCCCAGCCTCTCTGTGTTGGCATTTTAGGGGGCATTATGTGACGTGGGGCAAGGGAACTCCAAAGGAAAGTCCAAAAACATAGGCGGTTCCCCTTCCTCGCTTTATGGTATGACCTAGGGGCGGGGAGGGCGTGGTCGTCGCCGACCAATCAGAGTAGCACATTGAAGCTCCTGGACCAATCAGCGGGGCCGTCTTGTTGCAGCCTGCAAAAGCCAATAAGAGGGCGGGAATGGGACACGTGCTGAGGCTGGCGGAAGGCCCTGCTGCGCCCGGGCCTGGGTGAAGCTGGGTCCGGGCCATGGGCAGGTGGAATGCTGGACACTTGTCCGCCCCAGTCTCCCGGCCGCGCAGGGCCTCTGCCCCGGGGACTGCAGCCCCGGGGACTGCTCCGCCTGCCTGCCTGCAGCTTCCTGGCCAGGGCCCAGCCGCCCTACGCCACCCGGCCTGGCGCGGGGCCAGCCAGCCTCCAGTTTGCAGGTTGCAGCAATGCAAACTAATACTTGAGCAAGCCCACGCTTAGCTTTTCCTTCGAAGGTGTGGCCACGCGACCAGTTGTTCCTGCACCACCTCTTCCCCGCTGCTAGAGAAAAATTCGGGTTTCTCATGCAAAGTTTTTTGAACACTCAAAGGCTCCTAAACGTCGGGTTCCTAAGTCTTCCCTGATCATAGGTCCTGAAGACCCACTCTGTTCCTGAAGTTCTGCTGTGGTCTTTCTCGCCGGCTAGCTGGTCAGCTCTGCCTCTGGGTCCTTGACAGAAGGCTGGGTGAGTCCCATAGCCTCTGTGAGCCTCAGTTTTCTAGTCTGTAAAATGGGGTGGCGATGCCCATCTCAGACCACCCCTTTTCCTCCAGGTAACACCATCTCATTACACTTTGGGGAGCTGAAGTGTTCAGAGTGCAGAGGAAGGAAAGACAGCTACATAAAGAGACAGCAAAGGCAACTTGGAATGGGCAGTGGCCATTTCTCTTCTCGGTTGAAGGCCCTGGTCAGGTGGACCCATTCACACGGGAGCCATAGTGCCCTGAATGTGGCCATGGACAGTCAGGAATGGGAACGCTGGGCCCCAGCAGCTCCAGAGTCCTAGGGCGCTCTGGGGGAAGCTTGAGAAATGGGGACTCTGAGGTGAACAGGACCCCACTTCCGAACCTGGCTGTGCTCCTTCTCAGTCACCACCTCTCTGGCCGCTCTTCTCCTGTTTGTAACAATGTAACAACTCCTGCTTTGTCTCTTCCCAAATAGATTATCTGAGATGTGAATGTAACAAGTGATGTGAAATTTCCCCATTTACATTTTTTAAATTCTCATTTGCTTGCTTTTAAAAAAAGATTTATTTAGGGGCCTGTGCTGTAGTGTAGCAGGTAAAGCTGCGACCTGCAGTGCCGGCATCCCATGTGGGTTCAAGTCCTGGCTGCTCCACTCCTGATCCAGTTCTCTGCTATGGCCTGGGAAAGCAGTGGAAGATGGCCCAAGTGCTTGGGCCCCTGCACCCATGTGGGAGACCTGGAAGAAGCTCCTGGCTCCTGACTTCAGGTTGGCCCAGCTCCAGCCATTGCAGCCATCTGGGGAGTGAACCAGCAGATGGAAGACCCCTCTCTCTGTCTCTCTGCCCCTGCCTCTCTGTAACTCTGCCTTTCATTTGAAAGGCAGAGTAAGAGAGAGAGGAGACACAGGGAGAGAGCTTTTCACTCTCCAAATGACTGCAACAGGCAGGGCTGGGTCAGGCTGAAGCCAGGGGCTCCATCCGGGTCTCCCACATGGGTGACAGGGACACAGGCACTTGAGCCACCATCTGCCACCTGCCGGGTGATTCACAGGGTGCAGGACTCCTCCGAGGCACTCCGATACGGGATGCAGGGGCCTCGAGCAGCAGCTTCACCCAGTGCACCTCGACGCCTGCTCAGATTTTCATTGTATTTGGAACACAGACAGAAACAGACACAGTGGGAGAGACTTCCATCTGCTGGTTCACTCCCCACATGCCGGCAACAGCCGGGGCTGGGCCAGGCCCCAAGCCAGGAGTCCAGAAGCCAGCTGGGGGTTCTGATTTCCCTCGTGTCTCCCCGTTTGTTTTTGGTGCACCTGCCCCTCCTCCACCCACCACCGTCGCCCTCAATTAACAATGAGGACTTCGGGACAGCGGGCTAATGCCCTGGCATGATGCGCCAGCATCCCATATGGGCACCAGTTCGAGATCCGGCTGCTCTACTTCTCATCCCGCTCTCTGCTATGGCCTGGGAAAGCAGTAGAGAATGGTCCAAGTCCTTGGGCCCCTGCACCCATGTGGGAGACCTGGAAGAAGCTCCTGGCTCCTGGCTTCGGATCGTCGCAGCTCCAGCCATTGCGGCCAATTGGGGAATGAACCAGTGGATGGAAGACCTCTCTCTCTCTGTCTCTCCTCTCTCTGTGTAATTCTTTCAAATAAATAAATCTTAAAAAACAAACAAAAAAAATGAAGACTGTCAATTCGAAGACATTTCACTTTATTTAAAAGAAGCCAATATACAGGATATAAAGGCATGATATTTACAACAGTACAGTAAACGGGGGGCTTCCGGTAGGATCAGTAGTCTTTCCAGCAGTGGAGACCCCTCCCCGCGATGTTAGACCCAGCGGGCAGACAACAGCAACAGGTGTTGGAGGGGTGTGGGTTACAAATCAGGCAGATGCTGAAGTGTCCACAAGGAAGTGGGGGGAGCGTGGCCGGGGGCCTCTTTGAGGGCTTGGGAGGGAGAGGGAATGGTGAGGGGTTTCCCCAATACCCACACCCGGCTCACCCCAGCCTGGAAACCTACTCGTGGAAAAGCCCCACTGCACAGAATCTGGTTCTACTCAGACCACCCCCACCTGCCGGCGCCCCAGACCCCCAGTCTAGGAGGGTGCCCTCGCCACCAGAGGCCGGGGTCTCAGGGGACGAGCCCAGGTCTGAGGAATGCCCCTCGTCCCCAGTCCAGGCAAGAGGAAATGGGGTACTCCGCCGAAGCCGCTCCCGCGTGTGCATGAGCAGGGGTGAGGCGGGGAGAGGGGCGCTGGCGGTGTCCACGCCGGCGGCTACATGCACAGTTGCTCTGTCCACAGGAAAGCGCTGGGCTGCACAACTGCCTACCCTGGATTAAAAACCCCTTCCTTTCATAAAAATAGACGAGTCTCTTGCTTTATAAATAGATTACTTTTCACTTAAGTTACACCCTCGATGGCCCCTACCCCAGCACCCTCCCCCCCATCCCAAGCCCAGGTGGTGTGACTCCCCCCGCGGGGCACCTGCGCTCCACCCGCGCAGGCCTCCAGACACCTGGCCACGAGGCAGCAAAATGCATTTGCTTGCTGATACGTTTTCTTCCGAGGTCAGAGGCTCAGAGGACACTGTGAGTGTGAGTGAGTGTGAGTGAGTGTGTTTCACAACCAGAGAGCACAACGGACGCCCCTCTCTGTGCTCCTCTGTAATCCTCTGCTTGTCTAACACCCCCCACCCCCAGGATAGGAGCGGGGGAGCCTGCGTGAGCGCAGTCCGGAAATACCAATGTCAATATGACACCGGGCTGAGAAGTAGAAAACCAAAACCAAGTATTTACAGCCTTACAAAGGATGGGCCGGGTCTGTCCCAGCGGGGCCGGGGGCTGCCCCAGCGAGCGCTCGGGTCTTTCTTGGCAAGTTGTGGGCTCATGGTGAGGGGACAAGCGGGGCCATCTGGCATTTAACTTAAAAAGAACTCAGCGGGACGGGAGGCGGCCAGGGGGAGACCCAGGAGCCAGCCCGGGAGGCAGGAGATGGCCACACCTGGCTCTTCCCTCTTCCTCCTCCACCTGCTCCAAGTCCTCGCTCCCCAGGGGAGAGCGGATGTGCAAAGCCTGCAAGGAAGGAACCCTCTGGCCAGGCCTCTCCCAGGCCATTTCCACACTCCATGGACGGATTTGGAACACCCTGGTCCCCACAGACGGATGAGCTACGAATGCAAGGGAGACGGGGAAGGCGCCGCCGGCGGCCCCACACCTCCGCACGCACACAGCCCCCTGACTCTCTTCACACTACCGATGCACCTGTCACCCCCCTGGCTGACTTGCACCCACCCCCACCCCGTGCACCTGCCGCCCTCGGCCCTGGTCCGAGGAGACCCTGGTGACAGCCGCTTCCCTGCCCTCATTTAAACGGAAAATCTTTTCAGCAGCTGAGGTCCAGGCCCAACTGGCTCTGATAACCTTTGGTTCAAATAAAAAGAAAACAAGGAGAACAACGGTCAGTATCACGTGTGTCGGAACCCTGTAACCTTGACAACAAGGGCTGGGGAGGGGGAGGGGGAGGAAGGGCCCCTTCCAAGCCCAGGGTCCCTCCACGGACCTACCCACCCAAGGGGCCTGCCTGGCAAACACGAGAGGCCCGACCACCCCCCAGCAGAACAAAACAAAGGGGAAAACTCATGATAAAGGCCACCAAATTCTGATAAATATTACATCGCATGCGGCCCCCGACACATTCTCTCTACACATGAAACAGTATGTACAACGGGTTGAAGACTGCAGACACGTGGGCGACACGGAGGAAAGAGAAGGCCCTTAAAGGCTGAGGGTGCCCTGCAAGGGACAGATGGAGGGGGGGAGCGGGGCCCCCTCCTCTGCCTCCAGACAAGACAGTGGGGAGTCAGTCCTGGTCCTACGGCACATGTAGCTCCTCTCATCTCCAGAGGGCGCTCCTGGGCCAACGAAAACAAAAACTGGCCGTTACACCTCTGCAGTGGGCACAAAAAAAAAAAAAAAAAAAAAGGCGAAGCCGGCTGGGCTGGTTTCCAGCAGTGATCTGGGGCTGGGGGATGGGGACGGTCTCATCACAGTGCCCTTGAACTTAGGACCACTCGAGTCCGGGGGAGACACTGGCTCAGATGATCTCCCCGTGCAGAGGTCCAAGCGGGCACAGCAGGGGTGGGTCTGACTCCCGGCTGCTGCTCTGCCAGGAGCCCTCACTGCCTCCCCCTGCCTCTCTGCTGCCAGCGGCCACCAGGGGCCGGCCGGGACCGGAGCTCGGCCGCAGGAGGGAGACGGTGCCAGGCCTGGCCCCTTCAGACTTTCTCACAGAGAACATCAAGTCATCAGGGCAATAAAAGAGCCCTCCCCACCCCCACCCCAACCCACTGAGGTCCCAAAGCAAGCAGCTGAGCGGGCCGGGCCTCGCAGCAACCTTGGCCCTGGCCCCTCCGCAGCCAGTGCTCACCCCTGGAGGCTGGGAGAGAGGTCCCCTTGACCCCGGCTGCCTGCCCAGCTCCAGGGGGACCCCAGGAGCCTGGGAGAGGGCCTGCCTTCCACCGTGAGATAAGGCAAGCTGCTTGTTGTGTTAGTTTTGTTTTGTTTTGTTTTTGTTTTTGTTTTTTTTTGCATAGTAGTTTGAACACAGTGAGGCTCCACCTGCTCCCACTGTGCCTTGTCCCTCCACTTGGCCACTGCATCCAAAAAGAACATCAAAATTTGTCTTCCCTCCCTTTCTGCCACTTTTCTCTGTGTCCACTGAGAACATCTGGGAGACCCCCCCACTCCAGGCCTGGAAAGGTTGCGGGGCGGGGGGCTCACGGCTGCACAGGGCAAGGGAGGGTACCGCTCAGGCCGAGCAGAGGAGCGGGCAGCCGTGGGCGGGGGAGGGGGCAGCCGCCCACCCCATGCCACCCCCTCCCGGCCCCGCCCTCCCCTTGAGTTTCGTATAAAAACCCCTGCTAGGAATAATTCTTTGGAGCTCAAAGTGGCTCAGCTTAAGGGAGAAGGCACAGTTCACACTGCATCTGGACAGAAGTCTGCGTTTGTCGTGTGGAGAACGATAGAAATTGACAGCACCATTCCTCGGGTGGTGACGGAGAAGGGCTCCGGGGGTGGTGGTGGGGGTGCTGGAAGGAAGCAGCGGTCCCTCGGGGCTTCCGGAGAAGGGGGGGCGGGGCCCCATCTCCAGGACCACCAGGCACGCTCGGGTCCTCGGTCATCAGCTGACCATGGGCTCCACGTCCGCCTCCCGCTCGAAGTCCTCCTGGATTTCGTCCGTGCTCCCAGAGTCGCTGCTGGCTACCGAGCTGGGCGATGGCGAGTTCCTGGGAAGCACAAGATGTGGGGGGGCGTTCAGAGAGCAGCCAGGGCCCCCCCCCCCGGGCGTTCAGGCGTGGGAAGGCTGAGCACCTGGGAGGGGTGCCACCCAGAGAGCTTGTCCCAGCTCCGCGGACCCCAGCACCGCCAGCCCCAGCCGGGCCCAGGTGCTCTGGCTTCCCAGGAGCAGGGGCCATGGATCACGCCTGGTTCTTACCCCGGGATGACCTCGCCCAGGTCTGGGAGCAGAGTAGGCTCAGTCAATGACTCGCAGCCCAGAGGGAGGCCACACAGGGGCGTGGCCGGCAGCACCCTGTGGAGAGTCCGGCTCCACCTGCCTGAGGGTCTGCTCCTGCATAAGAGTTGACCCCGAGGGCTCTGGGCCCCGGAGCCGAAGGCGGGCCAGGCTAAGCCCAGCCGCTCACACGGAATCACAGCAAGAGGAGACGGCACAGGCAGGGGGCGCTCGTGCCTTGCGGCCGGCCTTGTGCGTGCGTGAGCTCATGCGGTTGTCAGTGTGTCTGTGCCCCCGGCAAGGCTGGGTGTCCCGGGCGGGGGCTCTGTCTTGCTGAGCTGCGCTCAGTGCACGCCAGGCTTCCGGGGCCAGACCCATCCAGCCCAGGCTTGGGGGATGGAAAAGGAAGGGAAGTGGCTTCCTGCGGACACACAGGAGCCTGATCGGCCAGGATGCGGGAGTGCCTCACCCGCCCCCGCCACCCCCCAACTCGGCAAAAAAGGGTTAAAGCCACAAGGGCAGGGAATCTGGCTGTTCTGCTCATTGCTGAATTCCCATGACCTTGTACATAGTAGGCACTTAATGGGTATCTGTTGAATCCATGGAGGGCGCAACGGTTGCTGTAGGAGTTACATGGGGTTAGCTATGCAAGTCATCTAGCACATAGTTGGTGTGCTGATATCCTTTGGATGGATGAGTGAATAGGTGGGTGGATGGGTGGATGGGTGGATGGGTGAATGGGTGGATAGATAGGTGCATGGATGGAGAGATGGGCAGATGGATGGATAGATGATGGGTGGGTGGATGAATGGATGGATGGGTGCATGGATGGATGGGTGCATGGGTGCATGGGTGGATGGGTGGGTAGGTGGATGGGTAGATGGGTGCATGGATGGATGGGTGGATGGGTGAATGGGGGATGGGTGGATGGGTGCATGGATGGATGGGTAGATGTGTGGGTGGATAGAGGGATGGGTAGGTGGCTGGATAGATGGGTTAGTTACAGCCCCAGAAATTTGCCACAGGGACTCTACCCCCGCACCCCCAGGGAGCACAGGCCAGTACCTGTCTGCGGAGCCCTTGATGAGCCGGCGGCAGGTCTCCATCTGCACGTCCAGGCCCCGCTTCATGCTGCACATCTCCATGTACTCATGCAGGTGCCGGTTCATGTCGCTCTTGGCTGTGGCCAGCTCCAGCTGCGGGGAAGCGACAGGGAGTAAGGGGGAGGGCACCCTCCCTCCTCACTTCCTCCAGGGGGGCCCGCACGTGGCCCTCAGGACCCTGCCTCCCAGACATCCGCCTCCCTCAGCCTCTGCTCTGCTCACTGGTCCCTACCCGCCTCCAGCACCGGTGTGGTCAAAGGGGAATGGTCGCTGGGCAACCCCAGAGGCAGCGGCTCTGATAAGCCCCACCCATTCTGGTCACTGCACCACACCCAGTCCCCAGGCTCCACAGATGTGATCAGAAGCATCCTCGGGTCTCTGGCATGTCTCTGTCCCTTCTCCCTGGCCCGATGACTTCCGTCAGGGAAGGCCTGGGCTTCCTTCTCCAGCATGAACTCAGCAGTAACCCTCAGCAGGTGCAGAGTTCCCGGAGCCAGGGGCAGCTGGCTAGCAGGCTGCTTCCTGTCTGAGGCTTTGGGCCAGTTACCTGTTCTCTTAGAACATCTCCTCCTCTGGACAGCGAAGGGGGCGGTCAGGATGTGAGGAAGGGACACTCACCATGGCCTAAGCACAGCTGCTACCCCCACCACTCACGGGGACTCAGACGTCCCAGGGCGGGCAGGAATCGCCACTCCCATTGTACAGCTTAGGAAACTGAGGCTCGGGGAAGGACGGGACTTGGCCAGCACCATGCAGGGAGCTGGCAGGGCCTCCCAGCTCCCCAGTCCCGGGCTCACTGCACTCGGCTCACCCCTGCACACACAGGGAGCCCTGGATGGGCAGGGGTCTTTCTGTGCGGACTCAGCGGGTTCCCCCACCGGACCTCACCTCGATCTGGCCTATGGTCTCCTGGTACTCCTTGTCTCGTGTCTTGAAGAAGGATTCCGTCTCATGAATCAGGTTGCCCAAGTTTTCCTCTTGCTGGGGAAACAGAACAAAGAGGACGGTTTAGCCTCAAGTCGGGGGGGGGGGGGGAGGAGGGAGCCGAGGGGTCACTGGAAGTCCCGGCCAGCGGTGGGCGGGCGGGCGCCGCGGGCTCACCTCCCCCTGCAGGTCGATGGACGGATTGCAGTTGGTGAAATCCTCCCACAGCAGCAGCGTGTCTTCATTCTCCTCCCACGTCAGGCTGTCACAGTCGTCATCAAAATCAAAGGTCTCCCGCCTGCGAGGTGACACGGAGGCCATCACGGACCCGAAGGGTCAAACGAACAATATGGGGGCGGTGGCCACAGGGGACATCTGTCTCATCCACAGAGCTTAACTCCTCTCAAGTGCTTGGGTGTTACTTATACAATTTTCCATGTACATCTTTAAAGACAGCAGGTTTTAATTCATGGGGACTAAAGTTCCCAAGTCCAATGTCATGATTTTTTTTCACTCCTTGAGCCCCTACGTGGAGCAAAGCCGTGGGCAGCCCCTTCTCTGGCACCGCACTCCAGTTCACAGAGGAGGAGCACTGAAGCTCGGCGGGAGTAACTCACACGTCCACGGCCCATGGCCGGCTTGCAGCACAAGGTGGGGCTGCGAGCCCCCTCTTCTGTTTCCAGACACCGCCCCCCATCCCAATGCCACCGAGCACAGATGTGCTGGGCTCTGGACCGGCCACAAGGCATGTGTAGAACTGCGGCGCTGCCACCCTTAAGACCAGCCTTGCAGTGCGCAGTTTCTGCACCCATTGTACAGGTGAGGGAACTGAGGCTGTGGGGGCCCTTCTGCGTGAATCCAAGCCGGAAACTGGGTGTGAACTCACAGCCTGCATGGTTTCAGCCCCTCCCCCGCCCCTGCCATGGGCTAGACCTGGAACCATCCAGGTTGGCCTGGGTTTCCCAGGAGGCCCTGGTTACCCTCACTGGAGGGGACCTTTGCACTCATTCCATCCAGAACACCCGCTATCAAGGGAAGGCTGAGGTTGAAGGGGTTAATGGCCTGACCCCCGCCCCCCCGCCCCCCCGCCCCAGGAAGCAGCGGCACAGGAGGGTGTGGCTCCACCTCCAGACTCCCATCCAAGGGCCTCCCCTCAACTCCCTCCCAGACTTCCTGGGCACTGTTCCCAAGCATCAGACAATGGTCTGGGTTGGGGACCCCTGGGCAGGACCCAAGGAAGAAGGAACTTCGGTAAGACGCTGTCTAGAGCGCCCCCTGGAGCCAGGTCGGGCCGGTTCCCCACCCAACAGCAGTTCCTGTGGGCGCCTGTAGGTGGCTCTGGCACTCCACAGATGGGAACCAGGGCTGGGGGAGTTTGGAGGGGGAGGCCTGGCCACTGCCCCTGAGGTGACCCTGTTCCTTGCATCCCATACTGGACTCGTGACTTCATTTCCTTCCCAGCTCAGGGACAGAGAGCCAGAGAGGACAGGGAGGCAGTCAAGAGAGGGTCTTGGGAGCAGAGCTCCCAACCCAGGGTGGGGCTGGCCCCAGAAGCAGCAAAGTAGGGAATTGCTCCTCTTGGCCTCGGTCTGAAGCCCAAGCAATGGACTGGGATCGAAACTAACCTGCCCTGACATGGACACATCATTCCAGGGCTTCCCTGGAACTGGTGGGGGGAGAGGCCAGGGCCCCACCTAGCATGGTCAGGGCAGCCCTGCCGAGGAAGGGGATGGGGGGGGGGGTGTCTCCAGATAATCAGAGCATTTTACTTTCTAACGTGGGCAGCTTTACACCCAGGCAAATCCAATCAGACACTGAACCCGACTCGACCCTCGGCACTCAGGTACCCACTGCCGCGGCACCTGCTCTCGCTGGCTCTGATCACAATGCTCTTTCTACACGAGGGGGCCATGGCCAGTGCAGCCCCTAAACTCGCCTCTCAGCTGTGCTCCGCCGCAGCTCAGCCCACCCCTGGTCAGCTTAATAAGCCTCTGGGGTCATGGTGAGAACAGGGGTGACGATGTCCTCAGAGAAGCCGTGAACCCAGCTGGCCTGGGGTCTCCTGGGCGTCCGCCCCGTCTCAGGCAGAGGCAGGCCCCAGGCAAGCTCCAGAAAGCCTGGACTCAGCCAGTGGTCATTCTCAAAAGCCCCTCTCGGCCGGCGCCGTGGCACACTAGGCTAATCCTCCGCCTTGCGGCGCCAGCACACCAGGTTCTAGTCCCGGTTGGGGCACTGGGATTCTGTCGCAGTTTGCCTCCTCTTTCCAGGCCAGCTCTCTGCTGTGGCCAAGGGAGTGCCAGTTGGAGGGATGGCGCCAAGTTGCTTTGGAGCCTTGCACCTCATGGGGAAGAACCAGGAAAGAGCAACGTGGGCTTCGCTGGCCATTGGGATCC